ATATCTAGGCTTTTTATAATTACTATATTATTACACATATAGTTTAGTACTTTTTATATAACTCTCTTTCTAAGGGTTATTTTTTCCTTTAGCATTAATACTACCTTTTTCTACTTATAGTACCTCTACTTTAGTAATATTAAGTAACTCTCTAAGATATAATTAAGTCTTTTTAGCTCTTTAGCGTTTACTTAATATCTCTATTACTATATAATACTTTTTTTTCTTAGCTTTAGTAAAAGTAAACTTATATATTAACTTACTAATACCTTTAGCTTAGAAGTTAATAATCTTATATATTATTATTAATAAGCTACTTTAATATTACTAGATCCTTTTTTTAAAAAAACTAGTACTTTATATACTATTTAGTATTATAATTAGTGTCTTAAGGTCCTAAGAGTCTTAGCTACTTAGCTATAAGCTAAATAGTATTAATATCTTTAGCTTAAAGTCTAAGTAAAAAATAACTATTTTAAGGTTAAAAGGTATAAAGTTTATTTATTAAAAACTAGCTTATATATTATTTTTATTTATTAAAGCAAAAAATATTACTTTAAAAGTAAAAAAAAAGTTATTTTTTATAATATATAAAATTTATATTTATATTATTTTTTTAATTTTTTTGTTATATAAGTACTTTAATAGGTTAAAGTACTTAATATTAAGAGGCTAAAGCTTATATAATAAATAAATAAATATATAAAAAGTAATAATATTTTGTTTTTTATAGTATTTATTAAAGTTAATTAATTTATAGTTATTATAGCTATTAAGGATTAAAAGCTAATAACTTTTTATATAAGTCCTTATATATTAATTAAAGTACTTTAATTAATCTAAGCTAATATTATTTATTATTTATTTATTTTTACTTAAATAAATATACTATATAACTAGGATTTAGCTATTAGTATACTAAGAGAAGAGGTAATATTTACCTTTTATAATAATATATAAAGGTAACGCCTAGCTATCTATATACATACCCTAAATAACAGAAACTTATTCCTGATTACTAGGCTGCTTTATATAAGGCCTTTTATAGTAATTAGAGGTTATAATAACTTTTATATATAATAGTATTCTTATTAAGAAGTTTATTTTATTAAAATTATAAATATTATTATTATAGATTTTATACTTTATAATTATATTTTATATAAAAATAAACTAAGCCTATATAATTACAGGATTTTTAGCTAATACCTTTTAATAGTTAATTTTATATTAAAAACGTATCTTTAGTTATAGTTAGTATTATATAAAGTTTTCTACTTATTAAGGTCTAATATATATTATATTACGTTTATTAAGAAAATAATTAGCTATATTTTATATATTATTAAGTTATAATAGAAATCCTTAATTAATTAAGTTAATAACTTATTTAAGAATTACTATTTTTTTTAGCTTAGTTATTTTTATTGATTTTATATAAGTCTTATAGTATAGTAATTATTTAGTGTATTAGTGTTAAAGTATTATTCTTAGGATATTATAGATAAAGGCTATTTTTTATGTAGATAGTTTTAGGTCTTTTTTAATAGCTTTAATTATAAAGATAATATAACTTTTATTTAAAAAAGAACTTATTATTATATATAGAGGAATATTAATATAAAGTTAAAGTTTAAGGAGAAAGGAAGAAGTAGGCTACTTGCTATGATAGGCTATTTGCTATGCATATATGTTACTATATAAGTCTTTTTAAAATCTAAGTATAAAGTTATATTTGTTTTAAATAAGAATTTAATTTTTAAAATATAGTAAGATAATACCTTTTAAATATATAACAAGAAAATAGTCTACTTAATATAATAACCTACTTACTATATATAACGTATATATATAGTAAGTAACGTATTATAGTAAGTAATACACTTACTTATTATAACTACCTTAAAGAGTACTTTTTTAATTATTTTTAAAAAATTAAAATCTTATTTAAAATACTAAGAATAAGATTTATTATAAGAACTCTTATCTTATCTAATTATATCTTTATATCTAATAACTATATAAACTTACTATATTTATATTTAGATTAAGTAAAATAAGAGCCTTATAACTATATATAACTTACTTATATATAAGATATACTTATAACAATAAAAGCAGTCTAAAAAAGACTAGCTAAGAATTAAGTTAACCCTAGAATTCTAGTCTTAGATCTAGTCAACCCTAGATTCCAGAAAACCAACTCCTAGATTTCAGATAAGATATTTTTATTAGATAATCATATTACTAATAAGATATTAAGGAAAAGATATAAACCTAAGATATTCCTACCTTTTAGAAAGCATCAACCAGAATTGTACTCATCAATGTAATAACCTTATCTTTCTACCTTTACTTTCACTAAGTCTCTTTACTTCCCTGTGACTATCTAAGAATATCACCAGTATATTCTAAGTAAAATTAATAAAACTTTATACTTAGCTATTAAAAAGAGTTATATACTAGTAAAAATATATTAGAAGTTATTATTATATCATTACTTTTATTCTTATTATAGCCCTAGATAAGGCTATAATAAGGAGGTTAAGGGTTAGGGTATAGTAGTAATTTTAAGGACATTAATTAGTAATATATAACTCTTATTAGTAGCTAAAAGTGGAGTTTTATTAATTTTAAATAAGATTTCGATTTTTTAAAGAATAGTTGAAAAAGTGCTCTTTAAGGTACGATAAGTAAGTACGTCGCTCACTATGATACGTCGCTCACTATGCATGTACGTTATACGTTATATAAAGACTCAAAGTAAACAGACTAAATTTTATAGCTATACTATACTAAAAAGCTAGACCTTTATAAGCGCTTTAGCTAGTAGGTTATATAACTTAGCCTTAGTCTTACTCTTAGCTACAGTATTCTCCCTAGAGGCTCCTATAGCTACTAGCGCTACTAACTGTCACTGCCGTAACACTCGGCTTGGGCAACGTCTTGGCCTAGGGTGCGTCACGGTTAACTTTAATTTCAGAGGCGGTTAGCGGATGAGTCGGAATTCGAAGTGTCTTCTGTATTGACGGCCAAGGTAGAAAGCTGTGGTGGCAGTTTAGGGTCTATAGGTAAGTACAGAGGACCGGTTTAAAAGTTTTGGCCAGGCTCCTAAGTAGCTGTGGACCCTGAATAACTACTATACAGGCTAGCATGAAGGGTTATCAGAGGGGTCAAGGATTAGTCCCTATTTGTTTATTTTTTAAGGCCATGTAGCCGCTGAACCGAAAGTATCACAGCGAATTAACTGAATATCGTGTACCTAAGTACTGATAGTGTTGGCGAGGTGATTCTATACTTCACCCTGGCCAGAGCTTTTGAGCCGGTCCTCTGTAATTGCTGTAGTTATATAACTGAAGGCTATCTGCTAGTATGGCGCCGGGGCCTAAATGAGAATTATTGCCATCAAAAGCTCTACAAGCACGATACAAGGCCATAAGCCCATAGTAACACGTATATACAAATAATTAAAATCATTTAACAGTTAGGAGCTAAGAGATACAGAGCTGATAGGAGGCAGTAGCGCCAAGCCATGCTACTATCATGTTACAACGGCTCTAGTGCATTTGTGTAGCATCTCGCGACACACTAGACACGCTGCGTCCAGACCAGGCAGCAGGGGCCAGGCCCCAGGCAGGTCTTACATAGTGCACACCGTCTCTAAATAGAGGTCCAATCAGTCGAACGGCCTCCCCGCATTTCCCCAAGTCAGCCGGGGAAGGGGGGCTAAATATATCGTATGTTTTCCCTAAACTCATCAGCCCCACTACATCTACCATGTCTCTGTCTCCTCCCACCCTCATCAGTCTGTCTCCATCCGTCCGTTCTGAGAAAAAGACCAAGACGACTTTGGAGGCAGCATGGATCTTGAGCGTGTCTCACTGACAGGGAAGATTACTTGAATGACCCGACTTATACAGCACGTAAGTACCGGCGTGCTTGCCTTGATTAACGTGCGTATTGTGGCTCCCCGTGCAAACCTAAAAGAATGCAGATGGGTCTATTCAACGAAATGCGATTGCGTCTCCTCTTGCAAGGTTTATTCTGCGGCCCTTGACAAGGATAGCATGGCCTGGCCTGGTCGTCGGGCCACATTCAAGTGGGATGTAGGCATGTGCCACCCAGGCATGCACCTTGTTTAGTAGCGTCCTGGCTGTTTGAACGCCAAAGTAAGCGGTCGTGTTTATCAATGTCAATCAAACCACTGACAGGCCTCCGACTCATTCCTCTCGGTTGACTAGACTGCCTCCACCCTCCTCCCCCCGCCTAACGCGGGCGGGAGACTTCTCCAAGCCTTTTCACCGATGGTTGTATCCCTGTGAGAAGTGTACATACCTTCTATGATTCTGTAGGAATAATTAGTCTGACACTCTCACGCAGGTATTGAGTCCTCACCATCCCAGTTTAGCTAGGTCGAGCCAAGCCAGGCTAAGCCAGGCCAAGCCAATTCCCCTCCATCCCATCTTCACGTGCTGTCAATCACACCATGGAGAAGGTGGGCAAGTGACCAGAATTCGACGCCATCTCCAACGCCATCAGCACTCTACACTACAAAGCACCGCCATCGTTGTGAGCACCAACCATAAATGCGATAGTAATAACAACAACAACGGTACTCAACTTACACCGACCGCCAAGTGACTCGGCTTCCACTCAGTCACATACATCTTCGAGCACCTCCCTCTCGAAAGATAAACCCACCGTCGCGGCCACTACATCAGCACCACTACCAGCTGACAAGGACTGAACTGATCGGTCGCCCTCGCTCGACGTGCGAACCCCCTCATAAGACCAAGAGACAGCCCACAACAGCCTTGAACTGCTTGTTCCATCCGCCAACCAGCAAAGCTGCTCTACTCTACAACAGAGCATGGGCTTGCAATTGCGATCGAACCCTACCGTATAGTCACTGTCCGTATTGAGAAGACATTCTTTGGCCACCTTTGTATCGTCCCTTCGCGTTACCGTCACCAACGACGACAGAAAATATCACAGTCGACATGTCGTCCCTTACTTCATTGCTGTCGGTGACGGCTACGTCGTCGGCAGCCCCAACATCGAGCACTGGAGGAAATCGGGCTCCCTCTCAGGGCGGCGTTATCGAAGGCGCAAATCCCTCCCACTACAACCCCAAGGACCCCATTACGATGTTTATCATCCAGGTTCATCTGTTCCCTCCTTTCAGGTTCTCACCGTAAGCTAATATTCATTCGCTACAGGCCGGTCTCATCATCATCGTCTGTCACCTTCTGCACTGGCCATTATCCAAGATTCGACAGCCTCGAGTTATTGCCGAAGTCATTGGTGGCATTGTCCTCGGCCCGTCCGTCATGGGCCGCATACCGGGCTTTCGCGCTGCCATATTCCCCACGGAGTCCATCCCGAACCTGACCCTCGTCGCCAACCTTGGTCTCGTGCTCTATCTCTTTCTCATTGGTCTTGAGACAGACGTTCGCTTCCTTCTCAGCAACTGGCGAGTTGCAACCTCAGTCGCGTTTGCTGGACTGGCCCTTCCCTTCGCTCTTGGTTGTGCTCTTGCATGGGGGTTATACAACCAGTTTTCCAGTGATGAGGGTGTCACGCATATTGACTTTCCTATCTACATGCTGTTCATTGGTGTCGCCATTGCAATTACGGTGAGAAACATTCGCGAAATCCTGGTCGTTGTGGACAATCCTAACTGACGTATGATCTGTAGGCATTCCCTGTTCTTTGCCGTATCCTCACAGAGCTGAAACTTCTCGATACGTCAGTTGGAGTCATTGTGCTTTCGGCTGGCGTTGCAAATGATGTTGTTGGTGAGTCTTGCGCCCAAATCAAAGTATTTGGCATACAGAACTATCCTAACATCTTATAGGCTGGATCCTCCTTGCTCTTTGCGTTGCTCTCGCCAACGCAGGGACAGGTCTTTCCGCCCTCTGGATTCTTCTAGCCTGTGTTGGCTATATGCTCTTCCTCCTCTATGCTGTCAGACCAGTTTTGGTTTGGCTATTGCGTCGAACCGGGAGCATTGAGAACGGTCCCTCGCAGAGCATGATCGCGCTGATTCTCTTGATTGCTCTTGCATCTGCTTTCTTCACCGGCATCATCGGCGTCCATGCCATTTTCGGAGGCTTCATGGTGGGCCTTATTCTACCCCGAGAAAACGGATTTGCCATCAAAGTCACGGAGAAGCTGGAGGATCTGATTGGCGCTCTCTTCCTGCCCTTGTACTTCACCCTTTCCGGACTGAACACCAATCTGGGACTCCTTGACAGTGGTATTACCTGGGGATATGTGATTGCCGTTACTTTCACGGCCTTCTTGACCAAGGTAATTGGCGCTAGTATCGCTGCTCGATTGAACGGCCTGGTATGGAGAGAATCCTTCTCGATTGGAGCCCTGATGAGTTGCAAAGGTCTTGTCGAGCTGATCGTCCTTGTAAGAATTCCCTTTCCTGTGTTGTTGTCTGGCCACCTGGAATTAGGGAAATGTAGTCCCCTTCTCCGCCCCTTTCCAAAAAGAAAAAAGCCAAGGAACAACCAGCTGCTAACCAAAACACAGAACATCGGCCTCCAAGCCCGCATTCTGAGTACAAGGACATTCACCATCTTCGTAGTCATGGCTCTTCTGACCACCTTTGTCACCACTCCGCTGACCTCGTTCCTATACCCTCGCTGGTACCAGAAGAAACTTGAAGCCTGGAAGCGTGGTGAAATTGACTGGGACACTGGTGAAGTCGTTTCGAGTCACAGCGGCACAGCTGATGAAACGGAGTTTACCAAACCAGCTACTGATCGCGTGCAGCGCTTGCTGGTCTATCTCCGTCTGGATAACATGCCGGCTCTTCTCAACCTTGTTTCATTGTTTGGCAAGCAGTCGATTACCGGAAGCCAGTATGCTGAAAGCGACGAGAAAGGTGGGGTGCAAGCGGGTATGGTTGCCTTGGGCTCGTCAAGCGGCATCAGAGCTGTACGGGCTCACGGTTTTCGCTTGCTTCATCTCACCGACCGCGATTCTTCAGTCATGACGGTCTCCCAGGTCGACGACTTCAGCCGAAACGATCCGGTTGTAAATATTTTCCGGACTGTCGGACAGTTTCTGAAGGTCGCTGTCTCGGGCGAAGTGTCCATCATGCCCGAAACCCGCTTCGCCGAGGCTCTCCTATCCAAGTCTTCGGATATCTCTTCCGATCTTCTTCTTGTACCCTGGACCGAGAGCGGTAGTCTGAGTGATTCACAAGTTCCTTCCACGGATGGCGCCAACAAGCTCGCGTCGACGTACACGGGCTTCGCTAAGTCCATCCTTGTCTCCACAGAGCACAATGTTGGCATCTTCTTTCCTAAGGGCAGCGCGCCTCAGCCTGCTACAGACAGTGGAAACGACCGTGGTAAGCTGATGCGAGCGTACTCTTTCAGCGACATCCACCATGACATCCCCACGATTCCTGTCACAAACAAGTCGCATCACATCTTTATGCCGTACTTTGGTGGCAACGACGACAAGTTTGCTCTCAGGCTAGTGCTGCAGCTTTGTGAGAAGCACAACGCCACGGCAACAGTGGTTCACTTCGAGCCAACGACTGGGGTCGGCTCCCAGACCCAGGAAGCTGACTACTTTGGCTTCATGTCGACCCACGCGCCTGCTGGCGTGGCCTCGCGTGTTAAGTTTGAGACCTCATCAGCCAGCGACGTTCTCGAGGCCGCTTCGACCTATGCTGCAACGGGTATCCGGGCAGACACGCGTGAAGTCACATGGCACAATCTCATTGTTCTGGGTCGTCGTATTACCGCAAAGCCAGCCGAGGGTAAAAATCCCGTTAGGGTCTCGGAGGAGATCAGAGATTGCCTGGGCCTGGCTGCCAGTGTGTTCATCGCCACGGGCGTCAAGGCGGATTTGCTCGTCGTACAGGCCAAGACAGTGACGAACTAAACCATACCCACTGGTTCCTCAGCTGGGATTTTTGCCGTTGTCGTCTCCGGGCCTCGATGCAAATCAGGGCTGACTAGGATTATTCTTGGTGCCTTTACGTGAAGCAGCACTGAGGGCCAGTTCTTACTTGCGAGGCAAAGTTGTTAGTGCGTCCATTTTCTATGCACAATACCCAGGTTTGACATAATTCGATCTTTTTCATTTGATAAATAATGTCCTGAGTGGTATAGTTTTCTATTTTCATACTTTTTCTCGTAGATTGATTACAGGATCCTAAGATGCGGTTCCTACATACAGTCAGTCACCTGACGTCCCGAATGGACTGCAGATACCCGCTGCCTTGTCTTTGTGCGAAATCATTCCTTCCAATCCTTCCAATATTAACCTGGACCAAACCTGACCGCCGATAACATGCTTCGATGAGGTTTCCGGGATCCAAAGCCAAATACCCATTCCCCAACCACAACGCCTAAGAACTGCGCAAGTTTTGGAAAATAAGATTGAGTCTAACGCCCAAAGCATATGAGAAACAAACGGAAAAGAAAGAGAGAAGGCATAGACTTCATTCAATCAGAACATGATCAGTGTCGTCTACGACCGCCACTACTGTGACCCCCGCCGCCGCCGCCGCCACCACCACCGCCGCCGCTGCCACTGCGACGGGTCGCCGTATTGACAGTAGGTTGTATGACAAAGTTGCGGATGCCCATTTCACATGCTTGACGAAGCGCCTGATGGCGCATGCCGCCCTTCATGCCGGTAGCTTTGTGGCCGACGAAGGTATCAACGAGGGCGGCGCCCAGAGCAGCCGTGGCCACCCGTGTACCTTTCTCGCCGATCCAGGGGCCAGGCTCGCTCCGCATCTGCAGAGCCGCTTGACTGCCAACCCTAAAAGCTGTCTGGGCGGCTTCGCCGAGGGCGGCATAACCAACGGCTGATTTGGCTCGAGGGCGAGGGCCCCCAACGGCACCACCCCCTATCGCTCCTTTTCTGGGCATCGACCGACCTCTGGAAGAGCGCTGCTTGCCGCCAGGCTGAGCATACCTGTCGGGCGAATCATTTCTGAAGCGACCGCGGCCCTGGGAAGCATGAGCCCTCTGCGGTGGACGGGGATCAGCCTCGTAGTCGGCGTAGCGGCCGCGGTTTGACTCCCCACCACCGCGAGGGACTCTCTCATAGTCGGCGTTGCGAGAACGTCGCCTGTCACTCTCACGCGAATCAGCATCGTACTGTTGGTATCGGGAGTGTCGTGGTTCAGCGACACGGGGGTCTGCGTCTTCGTAGTCGGCGTAGCGGGAGCGACGCTTTTCAGTCTGACGAGGATCTGCCTCAAAGTCTGAATACTTCGTGCGCCTCGTATCGCTTGTCCGGGGTGGGTGGTAGGCATGTTGTCGCTCGCGGCCGTGACGAGAGGCCGGCGCGTAAGCATCAAAATCATATCGGTTGTCGTCGGCAGCACGGTAGGGACCGGCATTTGGATTTTCACGGACAGAGCGACCGTGGCTCAGAGCGCGGCTGGGGAAGGCTTCATCTTCATCGTAGTAGTGATTCTTGTGGCTTTTGCGATCCTGCCTCGGCTCAGACTGGGCGGCGTAGGCGTCTATATCTGTGTCTTTACGATGCCCACGGCTGTCGCGATGATCCCTGGGGTCGGGGTCGCGTTGAAAGTCGTTGTAGGCAGCGGCAGCGGCGGCGGACTCTGATCTGTTACGACGCCGGATACCGGGGCTGCGGCCGCGAGGAGGATATTGGTCGTAATGTTCGGCGGCAGGCTCGTAAGGTCGTCCATAGGACTCATAGGGGTCCTGCTCGATATCAGTTCCTCGGCGGTGAGGGCGCCCCATTATTGTTCAAAGATCGTCGTCCGTCGGACCAGAAAGGGCAGATGATGGGTGAGGATGTAATGTGGTGGCGTCAAAGAGGTGTTGTTAGTGGGTGGTTGGTAGATGTCAGGCCTAGGACTGAGCCATGTCAAGAAAAAGTAGAAGAACAGTATCGAGGAAGGAGGGGAGCCTAGGTAGTGTATATAATCGAAGTCACAAAGGTGGCCATGATGGGCAGAGGGGAAGGGGGGGTGACGGACACGGGGGGTGTGTGATGATGTGGTAGTAGCGGGACGATGGACAAAGTTGGGAGGGAGAGCCAGTCTGAGGACTTGGTTAGTGAGGAGTACAGGCCCTGGTTAGCGGAAGGAGGGGAAAGAGGACACCCATTGGCAAAGAATGTCAAAGCAAGCAAATCGAAGTGTCAAAGCAAGCAAATCGAAGTGTCAAAAGTCATAAACAACCGAGAGACGAGACGATGGAGAGTGGCAGGAAGCTTGGAGGGCGACATCAGACTGTGACGGCTGCGTTTGACAAGCGGACCGGGGGGGAAGACAGAGGGTCGAAGATAGGTAGCGTCACACGCACATGGCGATCGGCTGACCGCTGAAGTGTCTCCAGTCCATTTCCTGCAGTAGGCAGTTGCGGGGGGGGGGGGGTGTCCGTCACCCTCTCCTCTCTCTCTCCTTCTCTCGTTGGATGCATTCGCTGTGTGTTGGGGGCTCTTCACGTCACTGGGAGCGCCCCTCATCCGCTGAGAGCCGTCAAATGGGGGGACCCTTGTACGGTGGGGATACAAAGGGCATGGGAATGGCTGGTTGTCCGCCAACAACACTTCGATCCAGGATATGAAAATAAGATTGAATATGGAATGACACCTTGCCTTGGCCCGAGTCTGATCAGAAGGGGGCTAGTCCGACCGTTGGACGTTGGACGGATCGAGACTCTGCCCAGCCAGGGCCTGCCACACGTCGGTACTTTGTCTCGTCTTTGTCTTGATGATGATTAGTTCTGGTTTGTCGACCCTCCTTAGGTGAGGCGAAGGTGCATCAAAAGTGTGCTGAAGAATCCAGTCCTGGGGTCCTGCACCGCTTGGCCACCCAGTGGAGTCTAGTAGTGAGTGATTGCAGCAGCGGCACCAGCAGACGCTAGATGCGTTGGTCGGCCGTGGGAGCCAACAAAAAGTCCTACATCCCTCACCTAACCATTCAAATGACCACTCTGGTATGACTACCTACTGGGCTCGGCTCCATTGCCGGCGGTACGTACCGGATGCAGGGTCCGGGCTGTGACGTCAGATGAGGTAAATTCGAGTCCAAAAACTCCAGTGCGTCTCTCTCCAAATGGAGGGATTTCGTGTATCCACCCACCTTTGCCATCACTACTCTTCGCCATCGCCATCGCCATCGCTCTCTCACGTACGCGCTACGCACACTTTGCCTCCTTACCTTCCCGACACAAAGTAGTGCAGCATCGTCTCTCTAGTTTACAGATGCACCTCACAGTATACCTCTCATGCCTTGTCCATGCGCCATACTTTGATACTAACAACCTCACGTGAAATGCCTTGTCTGTTGTATGCATTCGCCCGTTGGACGTTGCATTGAGGCTCTCCAACACCCTTCGAGGCGGTGTCGGCATCCGATCCTGTCCCCTTCAGTCGTTTTACCCATGTAACAGCCTGCCCATTTATCCAACTAGCTAGAGCCAACCCTCTCCCTCTCCCTTGGCCTCGCATGCAATTTGATACTATTACCGACCCATCAGCCGATGTTGCACCCTTTTTTTTGATGGCCTGGAGTTGAGAAATTCGGAAAGACCTGCTCCATCACCGCAAATCCCAGGTAGTTTATACATCACTGTCCTATCTACGTTGTTTACAGTGGCCGATGACCTATGTCCGTCGCCTCTGTTTGCTCATGTGCTGCGGATGATGCCCTACGACCGTGCCAGGTTGGTGCCCAACGGATTCCCGTCTCCTTTTTTCTTCTATATCAACCTAAGGATGAAATTCCGTAGTACTCATATTCCTATCTCCTTGTCGTGATGTGTGCTATCAATGGGTCGCCTCCGATGCTACTCGAACATCTAGTCCTGCCCCAGGCTGCCCCATTGTAGCTATCGTGACTTCCCCGCGTCGCAGTGCCTGTTGCATTGTTGTGGCTCTGAAGTTGAGAGGCAACAGACAGGTTGATGGGTCTCATTGTACTCCGCAATGTTGTCGCTATTGACCTGGCCCCAGCCGACTGGCTTTTCCCCTGATATGAGAAGAACTGGATTCCGGTTGGCTGCCCGGAAAGGGCGACCACAGAAGCCACTCCCATTCCAGCGGGTCGGCTGATAACGTGTTTGCACGGCTATTGTCGTCACGATGGCGCTGTTCATCCTGTATCCTCCCCTGTTTTCGACTTGCGGCTTCTTTGCCATAACAGACTTTCCACACACGAAGGGAGACGAACCGAGGCGCAGCATGCTGGCCGATGGAAATCTGGGATCTAAAAGGCTCCGGCGCAATGCGATTTTTTAGGGCTTGAGGTTCCATCATCGTCTCTGTATGTTTGCGACAGGGGGAGACTCGCCTTGTAGTGGCCCAAACCTCGCGAGTAACGCAGTACACGACTTAATCGCCGTCGACATGCCCAAGCCAAACTGTGGGCCAATAATGTAGAGCTTGGGGGGTATAGTAGCATCTAGCCCATTCGACTTGCAATCGAGGTTGCCCATGTTATACGAGGGGTACTTTAGTCCTGTCATTGCTGGCGTGCTTGCGGGATTGCGGGATTGCGCTCGGTGACATTGCGATGACAATGGCAAGCTAAGATGTTGAGAATTTCCAAGTGGACAAGAAACTGCGATGGTCTCACTTCACAACAGTTGAGAAGCGATTGGACCATACCATTTCCCCATGGCGGACTTGGTTGTCCTAGGAAATGGAGAGTTCGGCTGCCGTCTGACGAATAAAACTCAGTTCGTGTGGTTCGTGCAGTGGCGCCTCACGTTAATCATAAACATGAAAGGCTTTCTCCCACTCCGACGAGAAGAGAGAGCCCATTGCTGACTTTCCCGGACAATCACATGGGTTGTCCGCAAGGGTTCAACACTTGCTGCGATCGCGGCAGGGTCTCGGCACCAACAGTTTCCTCGTGCATGCTGACATGTAACAGCTGAGCGCCAGTCGTGGGTAAGCCTCCGCTTGCAAGAGATATACAGAGAGATAAATGGCCACGAGCAGCCATCGGCTCTTACGGGATGAGAATCCGTGTCATCAAGCAGCTCCAGCCATTAACTCCCTTGACTTATCGTTCTTCGTTGGTAGTTGGAAAATACCTACAAAATTCGTGAGTTGTGAAAGTTATCGCTCATCCTGTACCGTCGTTCATCTCGCGGAGCGGCTCTACCCAATTGAGAGAGAAGGGGGTTCGGCTCCTCCCGTGACCCGCTTTTACCTTCCGCGTATCATACAGCACTCATTTCTCAAATGTTGGGGTACAGTCGCTGTCACTTTCGCTTTCCTGCGCTATGGAACCAACCCGCCAGAACAAACAAAGTAGAACGCAGGTGTGACATGAAGAGATGATCTAGACGTTGTGGGCGTGGGATGATGGTGAACACAACTGGTAGGGTTGCTGCCGTTTTGATGTCTAAGACAATATGAACCCATGCCCAACGTTGTGTGAGGGGGCAAAGTGCGCCTCAGTTCAGTTGTGGCTCAATAAAAAGATACCGCCGGTCAGTCCCTTATCGCTGTTCAGCAGTCGTCCCGATCGCGCCACGGACCAAGTTGGCGGGTGGCTTTTCTTTTCTTGACCTCGGGAATTCCAGGGTCAAACAGTGGTATGTGACCTTGGTCGGGTGCCCAATGTTGGTCCCGGAAAGCGCATTCTAACATCTCCTAAAGCTAGTAGATCTATTCAACCATCTCCTTCCCTCCAACGGTTATTTACTTGGGACTGGACGGAAGGTAAGAAAGGTCTATTTGGGATACGTAAACTGTGTCCTGAAATTACAGTAGCTGTTCTGTCGTACTCGCTCCAGCTGTTCCGTTGCCAACCCAAGCTTAGACTTTCCCATTCCGATTGGTTCCATCTGTCTGGATTGGGGTGCCTGCTGATGTGTGATCGCGGGGAGTAGCAGCTTCCGAATCGCATTGTCGTCCTTTGAAGAGCGCCACAGCCCCTGGAATAGCATCCAATCATGCCTCATGCGGTCCTAAGGGACATTACAACACTATCATGCAGCCACACTCCTACAAGTTGCACATAAGCTGTGCTCCGAGGCACGACTGTAATGCTGCATTGAGCTGAGCTGCATTGGGCTGAGATGAACCGTCTATAGGAAACAGACCGTAGCCTAAAGTCTGTTTCCACGAGCTCGAGACCCACGTCCTACGGCATGTCTTAATCCGCGAAGGGCCTCACTGATCTGTGCTCATGAATCCATTCCTGGATCGAGACGACGCCAGTGCTCGATATTTGCCATTATCAGTGAAGTCACCCTATAAGCCTCGCCCATTTCGACAGAAGCACTCTAGATCACCCGCTTGAGGAGAAGCCATATCAGTTAGCTACGAACGAGTCATATGATATTGTGTGGCAGATGTCGTTGTAACAAGCCGTGCGAGAATGAAAACTGCTGCTACATTGTCACCTGTCACACCATAAAAGTACATGGATGGGATATCAATGGCAGGTCAATAAACCGGCACATCAGACAGGTGACCAACTTACAACTGGCTGCACCAGAGTCGAGATTGGCATTCTTAAGGGTCCCTGCAACGGCAATTGTTTGTTTTCGACAATTAGGCTGGCTTTCTGTGGCACAGACATGATCTGGTGTGGGTATGCCAGGCGGATGGTTCTTACAATGGTTGTAGAGCACTAGTGCCATCGTCCGCAATCCCCCTTACCCCGATTTCGCGGGGGTGGGACACTGTGGATTGCGCTGGAAATGATAGTAGGAATCGCAGAAGCCCGGGGAGTCGGAGGATTCCTATCGCCCAGACGAATGACAGGTGACAGATTGGCTACCGGCCAAAGCAAGCTACACGCGCATCTGACCGATCAGTGGAGTAGACCTTATGCATGGTCCTGGATTCGTCAGATTACGGCTGGGATGCGTGAGAGCTCTGACAAAGATAACTGTATTGCCGGCGATATTGTCTTTGGTGGGGAGAGACGCCGCTGTCCGAACTGAGGCAGCGGCCGGCGGCGGGGTGCGAACAGTGACAACGACTAGGACAAGCTAGGGCCCCCCCTTGAGGAGCGGTGATCTTCGGGAGCCAACACCGCCACAGGTGAGTACAGGCTGGAACGAGGCTAAGAGCTGAAGCGTCCTGGGCAAGACATCTTGCAGCGGTGGATGCAGCCGGCTTGGCGGAAATCGGGACGTGGCCTTTGGTCATTAGATATCTCTATGCTAGTCTGGGGTGGGAGGCTGAGTTGCGTTCATCAGTCGGGCAGGGCGCGAATACTGTGATGGTATGGCGGTTTGCAGTTCCCAAAGGCAAACGCGGCGAAGAAGAATTTCCAGGAGCGATAGGCACTTATTAGTGGTATGCCCTAAAAACCCAAGAAAGAACCCAGGCTAGATCCGGGGGGGGAGGAGGAATCCGGAGGGATTCAGCGGGTTGTGGTTACTAGGCAGGGTAAGCAAGAGAAGTGAGGTGAGTGAGCATGAGGTTGCGAATGCAAAAAGCCAGACCCTTGAGGGCCTGTGAGATCAGTGTTATCGCAAGTGGCAGATACGGCCCCACTCGGCCACGGCCGGTCGCCCCGAGAAGGGCCTAGCTTCGGAAGACTGTTGACCAATCAGAGTCGCCAATTGCACCCATTTCCGAAGCTGACAGTCGGGGTCCGGTTTGGGAAGGTCTCACGGAACGTGTCTAGCTTCCCACACTGCGAGAGGGGAGACTCCAAGTTCGATAGTGCAGCCGGTGATCAAGCCGCCCAGCCCCACCTTCTCTGCAAAGACGACAGCGGGAAGAGGCATGATGACATGGAGGCAAAGGATGGAAAGGAGAAGAGGGGAAATGGACAGAAATAGACAGCTGAGGAGGAATAAGAAAAGAGCCTGTAACGTTGAGGTGTTTCCATCTTGGGCTTGGATGCATGAGTAGAGGAAATAAACTGTCGCAATTGCAACGACCTAGACAGGCTAAGGCACCTTCAGTCAACGGGTATGCATGTCGCCACCGAAGCCAGCCTAGCTGAGGCAGGCCAGGCCAGGGCTTGCAAGGCACAAGTAATTAGAGACAGGCAAAGTCCCTTTGGTTGAAACCAAATGCGCGGTCGGTCGGCTGTATTGGCTGTTACGGTTGCCATTGCAGTTGCATGTTGCAGGTTGCATTTGCATTTGCAGCTGTTCTCACCGACATCCCAAACCAAATCCAAGGCTCCTTGCCTTAGCACTGGTCAGTCTAGCTCAGTCCAATGCGTTTCCGCCTGTTAGAGTAGCCGGAGTGCATCCGCAACTTTATTACACTGCCTTGGTCCTGTTCCCCATCGACGCATCTTGCCTCTATCGTCTTAATTTGACATATGCCCCTGCCCTACCAGGACCCATAACTCACCCCCGGCTGCACGCACTTTTGTTACGACGCGTCTTTTTCCGGTCCGTTTTATGGGGATTTTATGTGGTAAGATCATCCCGTCACAGCCATTATGAACCATGTTGCCCAGCTGCTCACTCTGGACAACCTCTCCATACCGACCTCAATCCATGCCCGTGCCTGCGTAACATGCGGCTTCTACCTGTGGTGCCTGTATTCCGACCCCCATTGCATTGGCCAACGTTGTGCTTAAGCGCCGCCTGCCTCCTTTGTGTATCACCATCTCACACATCAAGCATTGTAGGCTTGCTTGCTGGTCCTTGCATGACACCTCCCCGGCGTCCGGCACAGGACATTCCTGACGTGACATGGCACGAGATCAAACCCTGGGACGAGTAGACGAGAATCACTGACGGACCGTCTCAATCTCTAAGAGGCCACACCGATCACTTCTCCACTCCGTAAGCGGTCCGCTTGAGCTCATTCTACTGTATCTCTACCTACAGGCTCTCTCAATCGACCATATGGATGGTTACCGAGTGCTCGGGCTTTGAGCCGAGTAAAGGTATCGACTACGGTGAACTAGACTGAGGTGCCAGATGCCTGTTAGTCAGCCCCAGCGCCGTTTCCTCTGTTTTTTCTTTCGCCATTACCACCCCATCCATCACCTCTCGGCGCATCCACATCCGCCTGGGGGAGGGCAGCTTCTTCAAATGTGGCTCACAAGGTGTTGACCTCGATCAACAGCTAGGCAGCTGGGCGGCCATAGAGGCAGAATCATTGAGCGTGTGAAAGCGACCCGGCCTGGCCTACTCAGCTTGGCTCCCCTCCTCCCACTTCTTCGGCAGCTGGCTTCTTCGGCAGAGGGGGGCTTGCTGCAAAGGGTTCCATCGCCAATGCATATTCAGTTAATGTATCTTTTTCTTGTTCGAGACTACGCACTAATTACTCCCCGTACGAAGCACCACCACATGCAAGAGTACATATATGGTACAGTACCAAAGAGAGAAAATAAATATGGAGACCAGGATAAGGGCTTCGCGCTAGTCCTGGGGGCCTGGACACCTTTGGGGCTCTTAGCCTCGCCTTGCCCATCGATGCACCTCTCACAAAGTCACCCTGGAACCCCATTGGCCTCCCGTCCCATCTCACTTGCTCACGCTTTCCGGTCACTCTGATCCCTCATCCCAGCTCCCAGCCAAGCGACCAAGTCGCCCTAGCAAGAGGGGGAGAGAGAGAGACGCACGCAGCACACACACGCCCACTCACGCAGTCCAGTCCCAAAAAATGGTGCAGTTGCCATGCCGCCGGCGTGATCCACCAATCCTAAGTGGAACAACCATGGACCCTCCCATCCATCATCGTCGGACTGGCCCCGGCCGTTCTGAGTCCCTCCTCCGGCCCACCCTTGTTCATCCACCAGAAGCCCATTCCACGCCCCCCCGAAGAAATCTAGGCAAATGATAACCCTTCACACTAATAAATAATGGCTCGAGATTTTCTCTGATAACGCGACTGGCCATTGTCATTCGCCTTTTGGCCCGTTGCCCTTTTTTTTTTGGGTTGCCTTGCCCGTAACCAGTCGCTGGTCCCCCGGCCATCGATAAAAACCATCCACCGTTCCGCTCCCTCGGTCGCGATGTCGTTCCTCTAGGCTTGCCCTCCGTACATCCCTCGTCGTCGTTCTCCGTCGTCGCTGCCGCTGTCGCCATATGCCTATCGGCGCCGCATTGGCCTTTCTATCCAACCCATCCCTATATTGTCCCTTGTTTCTTGTTGCTGTCACAAAACCAAGTTGAGGCTTGCCTAGTCGTCCTTGTACTTGCTTTTGCGGTTCATCGTCAACATCCTGATCCGGTCTCGGCCTTGCTTTTTGGTGCCGATTGAGTTACATAACCTCTCTCATATCCATCAAGCCGACCACTTCTTTCGGGCTACACTTTTCTCGAATCTTTTGGTCGTGTCCCTCCTCATCTGGACATACTTATCATTGTCTGAATTTGAACACGAGCTATTTTACAGAGGGAAAGAGGAAAAAAATTGTGCAAAAATGGGGTTCGTCCAAACCTGGAACGCTAAGATCGCCGCCGGCCCGGTTGGCCGATGGTTCCAGCTCGAAGGCTCCGGCCATGTAAGTCCAGGTCCCGTCCCGCCCCGCGTCCCGGAAGCCCTCACACGGCATGCCCATTCAAACGGCATGCGCAAATGCAGGCGATGAAGAGGCACCATGTATGATGCTCAGTTCACTGACAATCAGCCGGAATTAAGCCCCGTGAGCGCAAGGGATCACTCTTCTTCACCGAGCTCCGCGCCGGCCTCGTCGCCTTCTTTGCCATGGCCTACATTATCGCCGTCAACTCGTCCATCGTGGCCGATTCGGGCGGAACCTGCGTCTGCCCGCGTACCGAGGAGGACTTCACTTGCGACAAGGATCAGGACTATCTGTTGTGCCTCAATGAGGTCAAGCGCGACATCGTAACTGCCACCGCAGCCATTTCCGCACTGGCCACCTTCTTCATGGGACTCCTCGCCAACATGCCCGTTGGTGTCGCCCCGGGTATGGGCTTGAACGCTTACTTTGCCTACACCGTCGTCGGGTATCATGGAACCGGCGCCGTGCCCTATCAGGTCGCCCTTACCGCCATCTTCATCGAGGGCTTCATTTTCTTCGGGCTTGCCCTCCTCGGCATGCGCCAGTGGCTTGCCCGTGCCATACCCCGTTGCATTAAGCTTGCCACCGGTGTCGGTATCGGCCTCTTCCTTACCCTGATCGGGTTGACCTACAGTGAAGGTATTGGCCTGATCGTTGGTGCCACTTCGACCCCCCTTGAGCTGGCCGGTTGCTTGCAGAGTGAGCTCGTCGATGGCCTGTGCCCTTCATCTACCAAAATGCGCAGCCCGATGATGTGGATCGGTATCTTCTGCGGCGGTATCCTAACCGTCATGCTGATGATGTACCGCTTCAAGGGCGCAATCCTCGCCGGTATTATTCTCGTCAGCATCATCTCCTGGCCTCGCGGTACCGACGTCACCTACTTCCCATACACCCCTGTTGGGGACTCCAACTTTGACTTCTTCAAGAAGGTTGTCGACTTCCACCCCATTCAGAGGACCCTCAATGTTCAGGAGTGGAATGTTGGAGGATACAGCGGCGCCTTTGGTCTCGCTCTTATCACCTTCTTGTACGTCGACATTCTCGATTGCACCGGCACTCTCTACTCCATGGCCCGCTTCGCGAACCTCATCGATGAGGAAACCCAGGATTTTGAGGGATCATCTGTCGCCTACATGGTTGATGCTCTCAGCATCTCTATTGGCGCTATCTTCGGAACCCCTCCTGTTACAGCCTTTGTCGAGTCTGGAGCTGGAATCTCCGAGGGAGGCAAGACAGGCTTGACCGCCATGGCTACGGGACTCTGCTTCTTCATCTCGATCTTCTTTGCTCCCATCTTCGCTTCCATTCCCCCATGGGCCACTGGTTGCGTACTGATCCTTGTTGGATCCATGATGGTTCGCGCCGTTACCGAAATCAACTGGAGATACATGGGTGATGCTATTCCCGCCTTTATCACTTTGGCTCTTATGCCTTTCACCTACTCTATTGCCGATGGTCTTATCGGTGGCGTGTGCAGCTACATCCTCATCAACACTCTTGTTTGGGTCATTGAGAAGGCCTCCGGCGGCCGCATTGTTCCCCACAACAAGCACGAGAAGGACCCCTGGACCTGGCGTATCCCTGGCGGTATTCTCCCTCCTTGGGTTCGCCGTCTTCTCAAGGGCAAGAAGGACTTCTGGCGCGCCGACGAGCAGAAATCTATCAGCAATGCCGAGTCTCGGCCCCTGGAGAAGACTGTCAGCTCCGAGCAGGGCGGCTCTGTGAACGGCAAGGACAAGGGCGTTGGTGAGACTATCACTCCCCACGGCGACAGATCATCATAACCAGAGCAAGAGCATGGTCGAGAAGTGGGTTTGGCGGGTTATTACTATCACATGTTACTCTAAAAGGAATTGGAAAGGATACCCGAGTGAGAAAGCAGGTCCATTTATTTGCTTTGCGTTGGATTTACAGTAAAGGCAGTTTAATGGAAAACGTGAACAGTCTCGCCCACCAGTGTTGCTTATGATGATGAAGTAGGTGGCAATATGGGATGTGTTTTTGTCCACAAGGGATGTGTTACTCTCAAGTCTTGACAGTGTCATCATCCTCATTAGGAGCAGCGATATCATTATTGTGGGCTTCAGTTCCCTCATTAGCATCGCCGTCGGAAGACTGAGGAGGCATGGGTGTTCCGGCGTCGCTGTCACCCTGTTCCATCGCGGCAAGTCTGGCGGCACGACCCTCTTTTTTACGAGGCACAGGTGCTAGGCAAATGTTAGCGACATGTATCGGAGGGGTGATACTACTTCGACGTACCTCTGCCGTTTTCCTGGACATAGAAACGTCGAAGCAAGCTAACAGCTTCGTCTCGACCCCAGCCACCCTCTGCTTCGAAGCCCGGCTCGACATTGCCGCCATCGCCCCTTTGGCTTGTTGGGCGACCGTTATTCAACGAACTCTTGCCAGATGACGAGCTTACCGGTCGGGGCAAGTTGCAAGCGTTTGTGGAAGTCTGGAGGGGTCTAAGAACAGTGACGGGGTTGGGATCCTGGCGAGTGTCTGTCGAGTTCTTATGGATGCTAAAGACACCTCCCGTGCCGCCAAACTTGTCGTTGACGGCACCAAAGTAGACCTTCTTGATACCGAGTTGTCGAAGGAGACCGGCGCACATGACACAAGGTTCGACCGTGACGTAGAGAGTGCACTCCCTCACAACAGAGCGGTCAACTCGCGTGGCACGATGGAGCTTCTGTCCATAGGGATACAAATGACCCTTTCTGACATAGTCATCGTCCATAGGGAACAAGTCCGATTCGTCGTCTGGCACGTCTCCTTTAGACCGTTCGCTGGCTTGCTGGCGAAGCTGAGCATCGATTGCCTCTTCGCTATTGTTGGGTCGATAGGACAGTAGAGCAGATAATGCCATGAATTCGGCGTGTCGGGTGCCATTCCGCGTCACGTTGGTCGCGTTCATGCCTCTCGCGATGACAGATCCGTTGTAGACGAGAACACAGCCTACCGGCGTTTCATTGGTTCTCAGGGCGAGACGAGCCTGGATAGGCGGTTAGAATACCTTTCCATTTCGTCTTTGGAACAAGACAGCCCACGGATTCAGCTTACCATGTCCAAGGCCTGGTCCATGAAGGCTTGATGCATAGGCCTCTCGCCAGGAGGTGTCAGAGATGCCTGTGGGATAGAAGTCGATGACCGTGGTCGACCAGTGGATTCAAGACTTATTCGGCCCGGAGTCACCGCTGGGGTAGCAGCGATACTAATGGGATCTTGGGGTTGGTTCTTTTGCTTGTTGTTTTCCGATGCCACGGGAATGGAAGCATGCGCCAAGGGAACAACGGACTCCCTGGACTGAGCAGGAGCGGCAGTCATTTCTGGGTCTTTTGGTAAAGACGGTGACTGTGGTTGCTGAGGTGGCTGCCTAGGTTGCGGAAACGTTGGAGTAGTCGTGGTGTCGGCGATTGGTGGCGATGTGGGAGAGGAGGAAGAGTGTTTGGAGTTAAGAGAGATTGGGGGGATGAGGCGGCAGAAGATGTTCTGTAGAAACCTGCTTGTTGAGGAAAGCCGCTTTGCTTCCTCCTTCCCTTGAGACGCATGCCCAGACTCAGATTTAGACCCGCCTGCGAGCGGATCTGAAGGGGCAGGTGCCTTCATATTGACTGGGCTGGAAGGAGCCTCCTCGGTGCTCGCCATTCGGTACACTTCACCTGAGAGGAGTACGACTTTGAGCCTTCCTTCGTCTTCTGAGTGATTGAGATCCTTCTGGAACGAGAGGCGACTCTTCCTTCTCCGGATCACTTCCGTAGAATGGTTGCCTGGAGTGATAAGTCTTGTGACGAATGGTTGGACGTTGGCATTAGTACAGCGGAAGGCACAATAAATTGTTTCGCTGCTTCTGAGCGAAACTTGCGAAGATCCGTTAATTTCTCTTGTAGAGAACTTCGCTGGCTCGAATGTCGTTTGTTGTCGCTAGTCTCTTTGCTGTTGCCAAACCGTGCGGGTTTCAGAAGAGAAGATTTTCTAGTTTACTTTTACTGAAGACTCTGAGTTTCGTTTTCAGATCTGTAGTTATCTCGGGGCTCTAACAGAGTCACTGTGCTTTGACACTGTCTATGATCTGTCTCTGATCTGTCTGAGTGTCGTTTGCTCACAGTCAGGACAAGATTCTAACTAATCGGCCGCCTTGCCAGAAATCGCAGAACATTAGCCCCAAACCAAAAACAAACAAACAAAGAGCTTGCAGTTTAGTGCAAAAAAAGAAAAAAGAAAAAGAGAGTTGCCGAAGATTGCTGAAACTATGGCCTTATACAATGGATCACGAAGACCACGTAGAATCCAAGAGAGACAGCAATGACTCAGCATTGTCAGCTCAAATCGATTGCGTGTAATAAAAAAAGGCCTGCTTGCAAGTGTTCATCTTTGTATTACTCACTATTATGAAGAGTGTCAACCACGTGTCTTCTTGGGCCTTGGAGGGAAGATAGAGATGTCTTGTTCAGCATGTGCTGGAGTGAAGTTTGCATTTGAGTGGGAATATGCCCCATCACGTGACACCACCCACCATGTGGTGGCACTGACCACGTCAGCCATCCCAGAGATCAAGTCGGTAGGTAACGTATACAGTGTGTCTACATCCTCAAAGGCTACCCCTTATGTTTGAAATCGAAGTTTGGCATAGACCATATTAAAGGGACGCTTTATAAGTCGTGGGCGCAGTGACATCATGATAGGGGCCATTTCTCTAGATATGGGACAAACTCGATCTCCCATGAACACTTAAAGCACTCTACGTATTTCATTCTACACAGAATACCACGTAGTCAAGGTGGCACGAATATGTGAGCAAGGCAGTGTATTGTACGTGCACAAGAGCAACACTAGAGAGAAATTTGGCTGATCTACAATCGGACGCATTTGCAGAAATCCCAGTGTCTTGTCCCTGCTTGCGCAGCACACAACAAAACCTTACCCGATGATATAGCCGACACGCCTCCCATCGCCGGGGATTGCGCATCTTATCAACAAAACAGAGGGGTATCTCAGTAACCAACGCTCCCAAAACATCAGCAAAGAAAATTACAACACATTTTCCCATCCATACAGGCCAGGACCATCAATCCCAAGCTGCAGGTCGACGCAAGAGCTCATACGAACCCTTGTGCGAGGCCCAGAATCCTTGGCATCCTTGCCGGTATAACCCAGCAATGGGTGCCCTGGTTCTGGCGACAGGTATGTCGCAATCTCGTGCTGACACAGGAGAGTAGCCTCGCGCCGTCGCTAAAGCCCTGCGGCTCTGGCGTGGTACTGAGACGGCTCTGTTGCGGTCTCGAGTCAGGATGACTAGAGGTGAATTGGTAGGCCTTGTAAATGGCCAAACCAAGAGCGATTTGGAGGAATCCGTATACAGCTGCTTGCGCCTCAAGCCAACTGGCAAACATGCCGAACGTCGCCACAAGCAATACCGTACAAATGAGTAACTGCGAGTTGGACGACTTGTTGACACGGGCGTGGCGCTTCCAGTCGAAGCTCTCGCCCGTTACAAATGCTGCGAGGGATTGCACTCCGCTTAGTCCGAAGACTGGAGAGACGTAGTACTCAAAGCTGAGTGGCGCGGCAGTGTTACGGCTTCCTGACAACCTCGGGGCAGATGCCTGTAGGTGGACAGTCGATGAAGTGCCAGTCGCTCCACTTTCGGTAACTCCGCAATCGCCGCTACCAGTTGCTGTCATTGTAGTCTGCGCGTAATAAGACAGCTCCTCGAGCGAGCTCGAGAAGCCTGAAGGTGCGGATACCGAGGACGCTGGTATGCGACTAGTTGCTCCGGATATAATCGCATGTGTTGCAGTTGCCCCTTGCCGTACGCCATCTGGGGAAGATGTGACATGTGGAAGTGGTACATGGGATTGGGTTGGTTGAAGGTTTCCATCCGTCCCGTGTGATAAGCGAACGGTTTGGGCCGATGAGAAGCTGTTGAAAACACTGGTCTGAGACACGGAATCGCTCTGTTCGATGGTCAATATAAGTTGTTGCTGCGTCAACCAAACGAAACGCACCTGTGAGACGCTCTGTTCACCAGTGGATGGATCTAAGTTCTCTGACCCTCCAAGGAATGCCGTTGAAGCCAGACGTACACCGCTACGTGGAATCGAACGACGATGACTACCCTCAAGGTTGGGTCCTCCCAGGAAGCTTCCACTCGATGTTGCACCGTAGTCAACCAGCTGATCATATGGTGCCACAGGCGAAGGATCGATATGCGCTTCCGGTGAGGATGATGACTGGCGACCTTGAGCCAGGCGACTACGCGGAGAAAGAGTGTCCTGGTCCCTGCCGAAGGCAGAACCAATATCGGTAAGCAGCGCGACATCGTCATCCAAGAAGCTTGGCTCCGGCGAGTAAAGATTGAAGTCGACGTAGTTGTTCGCAGGCACAGAGTACTCCAGGTACGGGAGAGTGGGAGGCCGAGCATCGAGCTCGTCGGGGAATGGTTTGCTGACATCGGGGTTCGGCTGGGTGTTGAGGCTACCCTGCGGCTGGGCGAATTCCTTTGAGGGCGTGGTGGGAGATTGGTTCGAGTTGGGACTGAGGTGGCCAGCTGGGTCGAAGAAGAAATCGTAGTTGCTAGATGCAAAGTCGATAGACTCTTCATCAAACTGAACGAAAGACTCCCATGACTCGGGAAGGTCGATTGACATGTCAGGAATCTCAAGACCGGCAAATGGCTGTTCTGAAACCAACGATAGTGCTGTAGATACTGTGTTCCGTTGTGGTGACTTTTCAGTAACAGCCTGTGAATCCTTTGCAGACTTCTTAAACTTCTTCGCCAAACGCGCCGGAGTGGCACTAGTACTGGTACCCTGAGACTGAGTGGCATTGCGCTTCTTATGGCTGGGGTCGCAGCGGACTTTCTTCTTCTTACAAGCGTCGCAAGCCTTGATAATGCGCATCAGATGGGCGTGATCACGCTGCTCCTTGGTCTTGCAACCACGGGAGGCAGAGTTCGTGACATCGCGGCCATCCTTGGTCATGATCTTCATGCCAGGGAGATGAGAGAAGTCGCCGGCTTGAGACTTTGCCGCCGACGAGGCAGCCTTCTTCGAGGGCTTGGAAGACATTGCCTCGTGGGTTACCGAGGCTGGAGTTGATGCGGAAGCCGAGCTGGGGGTCGACTGAGACCAGCTCCAGTCGGAGATGACGGGGGAGACGAAGCTGGAGCTATAGCTGGAGTCCTGCATGGGGCTGGACCCGGCGGACGAAGTCGTGGAGCTGAAGGACTGGCCAGCGATGGCGTAGTACTTGAAGGTCTCTCCTGTGAGCTGGGAGTAGGCGAAGAAGTCCATGGAAACAGTAGCACGCTTCTCCAAGATGGAGGCAGAGCCCGGGACGTAAGCATTAATGAGGTCGTCCAGTTGCTGAGTACCCATCTCCGGGTAGAACTGCAGAGCAGCGCCGAGGAAGGGCTGCGAGATTGAGAAGCCTTGGAAGGCCGCAGCCGTGTTGTTGTGTATTACACCGGACATTGCGTTTACGATGTTGATCACTGAAGGAATGCGGCGGAAGGTGAAGGATATGATGACGGGGATCGAGTCCCTGTGGCGGCCAATTGTAGGATGTTAATGGTGGATGTTTGTGATTGATTTCTACTGCTGTTGATAGTGAGTATATGTTGTTTTCTATCTCAGTATGTCCATGACTCTCGCATTTGTCGGTTGATGAAGCAGAAGTAGAGAGAGAGGGATAGGGGATAAGGGGTTGCGTGTACATGGGAGAGGTAGAGGTAGAAAGATGCATCCAATGAACGAGGAAGATTACTTTATGCCCCAGACTTGTACGTTCAAGAGCTACTTGGGGCTGAAGGTGATAGGGAAACTATGCAAGACGGAGGCAAAGCCTACCTTGACAAGAAGCAACTTTTGGCAGTCTTGAGTTACAACGCAAGATAGCGAGGATCGTGTTCAGGCAAGACGTAGCTGCTGCCTCAGAGGATAAGTTGTATGCAGCGAGCAGAAAGTTGTCAGCAACTGGTTTCGTTGGTGAACTGACCAGTGTCGATGGGGGGAGAGTTCGCGGATGACTGGAGATGGGACGAGGGGAAGTTGCTCCAGCTTTGGAGTAGCTTCGGTCGAATCTGTCACTCGGCGTGTCTGATATTGTGATGTTGGTTGGGAGAGAAAAAGAGAAAAAGTCAGGAGGAACGCGGGCGGGATGGTCGGGCGGGAGTCATGGATGTTATTTCACCTTGTGAGGCCGCTGATGGCTGCGCGTCGGTACCCCCAGCATGGCGCAGCAGGTGGTTTTGATTGAGCTCGTCGGCGAGATGAAAACGGCTTAGCGTACCTTTAACGTCGTTTCGTACTACAGCCAATCAACAATGCTTCTGAGAGTAGAAAGACCCACTATAGTCAGTGCTATTGGTTCGTGGGACCCACATACTGCGAGCCAGACCTGCTGGTTTTCGGCGAGTGTTCTCGGGCCTTATTGGTCAATGGAAGGCTGAGTAGCTATCACGTGATATAAGTGAGTCAACATGCAGCCAATAGCGGTCGCCTACTAATTCAGACGACCAGTCATAGTCCGTTTGAAGTCTCTCTTCATCAGTCACCTATCTTAACCTGCTCTTTGTAGATGGCTTTGCTGACACCATCTCACCCTTGAGCGACTTGTGAGTTCTCCGCAAGTAACGTATCCTTACATACGTACCACTCCTTGACTGTACCAAAATATCTTGAGGGAGAAGGATGGGATGGAGCGCCCCCCTCCATGATGGCAAAACTTCAAGAACTTGATGTAGGACCATTTCCGCCTTCAGTCAGACCTTCCCAGACCTGAACGATATGGAACGATGGATCCTTTGGGTCTTTTGGGTGTGATGATGCGCCGCCAACCCCGCACGCAGCCCACCTCACTCTGGTTAGCCCCGCCTCCAGCCCGTCAAGCTTCGTCTTCCTTGTGCCAAGCGTGCGAGCACATAGGGCGTAGCGCAAACCCATGAGTACTACAGAGTACACGCATCAGCCTGAATAAGGCGCAAGTATTGTTACGCCATTTGTATGCGGCTGGGCGGAGCGGTGGTTTGCGTCGGTATCTACCGCTCAACCAGAAGCTTTGCATCTCTCCCTGCCACTGCTTACACTTGCTGAGACCGCCACAAATGTAACGGAACCTGCCCGCATTGTGAAAAAAGGTAGCAGGCTATGCTGGCGCAAGGCAACCAGGAAGCTAACCTCAACTGGACATTTTCATCCATAACTAGGCCAAGCACGGTACTTTCCCGTACCAAAGGCATAATGTTTGTTATGACACTAGTCTGCTGATCCTCCAGATATGGAGAATAATCCTTCCGGTCCCATGAATTGGGCCTATCTTCTGCGATATATCGATGCCCGTGTAATAAAATCTCTCTCTCTTATTTTGCTATAATTTCCACAGCCACTCTTAACTCTTCGTTCGATATTTTGCTCTGTACCTCCCCGACTTCAGCTGTTCCGTCCTCATTGATGTATCTTGTAGCTGACGAAAAACTAATGATAGCATGATGAGTCCATACGCTCGACGAATCACCTAAGCCACAGACAACACGAGTTGACATGCCAAACCGACCATCGGGTATAGCTGACGAAGAAACCGGAGAAGCAGGGCGTGGCAGAGAACGGTCGATGTCCCCGAGAGTAGTCCATCGTTGGGAAGGCACCTGTGACAGATGAGGAGATGCGATTTCTCCTCGAGCTCTGGTTTGCAAAGACACCGAATCGTATCGTGCAGCAATTTTGTTGTTCTTCGCCTTCTGCGTCGGACAAGCAGTACCGGGGGTGTACCCAAGGCACAGGCCAGCAAAACGAGTGCCACAGTCTGTAAATGCACTGTTGTCCCAATAGAACCCGGACGTCCAGCAGGGCGAGTTAGCAAAGCCGCCTCCTCCTTGGTTGTGGGTTGGCTGATGCTGAGATGATGATGTACGACCTCCTCCATCGGCCGGGAAGAGCGTTGCGCAGATTTGGTCGAGATGCTGCTGCCAGAGAGCATACCCATAATACCACCTTTCAAATCCATCGAAGCCAGCGATGTCACAGCCAAAACAACTATCGGTCTGTTCATTGACATACCCACAACCCCGGCAGTGGAAAAGATAGGGCGGATAATGGTCCCGCAAGGAAGAATGGGCTTCTCGGAAATGCGCCTCAAGAAGCCCAAGAGTTGGGAAACGAGCATGGCAACCTTTGCTGCCAACCATCCCCCGGCCTTGACATTCCCAGCAAGCCGGGCCATGGTTAAGCTGCCTCCCAATGGCTATGAGACGATCATCATGCCTAGGCGGCCACTCCCAGGCCAGAATGCTCGGTTGGTGGGTTAAACCCGAAAGCCTGTTAAAGGACAAAGCCGTTGTGACCAAACGACCCTCGCTCGGCAGTGACACAGGAGTCAAATTGTCGATGGCTTCCAAAACTGACGCTGCATCAGGAATTGTCGTCTGTTCCGATACCACACCACGTAGCATGTCGCTACGGTTCTGACTCGTGGAGGTGGGCCGGTCTCTTGCTTGTGGTAAAACAGCATTTCGTGGATTCACTGCTAGCCTTTTATGGGCCGCCCTCTGACACCTGTACTCTGATTCGAAGGGCTGGAGGTCATGGTGTTTGCACTGCAATGGCCCGATATTAGCAAGACGAGTACCCCCTAGAGAACAGGTGCTGCATGATTGCTCACCTGCACTTTACGCTCGTGGCACTTTGTACAAGCCTTGAGACTCCGTATGAAAGCCGTCCTGGCCTTCGTGAAGTTGGTTAGAGGCCCCTGGCGACCCGACCGTTTGCGAGTTTCCTCCTGTAGTTGTGATGAGGCAACACTGAGGCCGTCAAAAACTTGAGAGACGGAGTCGTTTTGGGAACTCCCTAGGGAGGTGCTACGCGACATTGCGCTTGCATCTGGTGTCGGGAGCAGAGGCTACGAGGCGGTAGACATTGAACTTTCGCGACAATGAAGTAGCTCGTCCAAGCTCAGTTCACTCTGCAGGTCACGCATCTGGACGTAGAGCCTCATCAGGTCTCGGCTGAGGGTTGGTCGTGACCGCCGACTATGATTGCCTGCGGACGAGGGGACATAAGTCTCCATGAGTACTGAAGCTGTAGAAACCGACCAGGACGAGTCTAGTTGCTTTGCCGGACCCGAACTTGGTACGCCGTTGTTAAATCGTTGCATGTGCGAGGCTGCGTGAAGCCCCGTAGCCCTTGGTGAATCTGGGCTCGTGGAAGCGCGTCTCCCAAGATGTGACAGCCAGTCGACCGGCTAGCGGGGTCGTCGAAAAGTTCTGAGTGCTGAACTTGATCAATCACTGTAGCAGAAGTAAAGTCACCAAGACGATTGACGGAACAAGGAGATGTGAACGCGTGGCGAGTTACAAGATTTTCAATTAAACGTGCGTGCTCCAGGCTACTGAACAGCCTACGGTTTTCTTCGGCGTGACCATCCATTACATGTACATAACAGCGGCTTCGCGCGTCCCGGCCCAATTGCACAACTCTCTGTATCCGAGGCATCACTCAGGCGAACATGGTCGCCTCGATTACGACGAACCTCGAAGGGGCAGCGATGGGGCGCGAACCAGCGCCGGAGGGAACCCTGATATCCGTCTGACACTCATCAACTGGGATGACAGCCCACTATGTCCAACTCGAGTTGCGTGCGTATTACTAACCAGTCTCTCCCTCGCGCAAGTGCGCGAGGGTCTAAGAACACACAATAAGTGTGCTGTCCACAACTTGCGAAACTGTCCCTAGCTTGGCCAATCTCAAGGTGGTTTGTCTTCGTCGCCTAGTATCACATTCCTGAATGTGCCACGTTCATGCAGAACTTACAGACTGATGAGTTGCACCGAACACATGGATCACGTAGCTGCTGTCTCATTTCTTGCGTCGCCAAGTCTTTTCATCCGGGCCTTATGCACCCCAACAGGTCGTAAGCCTCCTTACTCCAAGGCCCTCCGCTGGCCCTTGAAAACCCGGAAAGCCGCTGAGCAGCTTCGTCCCTAAAACCGTCACTCTTTGGATCGGGGTTTGCTTCCGGCCGGCTGCATTCTCTTCCGTCGTCGTTCTTACCGACAGTGGAGTCAGGGATCGCCGGTAGTACAGGCTGCGGAGCAGATCCAGCTGCATCTGATTTCTTGGCTGCTTTACACCCTCTCGTTGCCGGATTTGTCAGACGAGTCGCTCTTTGGGGCTTTATTTCTGCTTCCTTAATAGCATCGGCTTGCCTAGTCGAAGAGCTGTCATCCGAATCACTCTTGGAAGACATGGAGCGTTCTTTTCGTGGAGCCGGCGCTGCGGCAGAGTTCTCAGTCGCCGCTCGGGATTGTCTTCGGTTGAAGGAACCAATGATCTCCTTGCTTTTTACGCTTCTTCGTCCAAGGGATGCCAGCCGTGGTCCAGACCGGGCAGACATCGCTTCCACCTCCCTATGTGGTTCAGAGCTGGGCTGTGTCTTGCGTTCCCGTAGCTTCGCCTTTGACTGCACGAGCTCATCCGATGATCGACTCCCTTCGCCGCCAGTCGGTTCGGGCCCGGGCTGAACCATCGCATCACTCATCGGGTTTGAGGGAAGCGTGATCTCGTTATCGGTGTGCACCCTTTTTGGCTCGCATTCTGACGCATCGCATTTAACACTGCCGTCTATAAAACGAGGTAGCATGTCAACTGGAGAAACCGATCTCGCAGCATAAGAAACACTTGGCAAAGTGTCACCCGTCATGAGCTGTCTCCCTACTGAGGATGTCTCTGTTCCCGTCTCCGGCAAATCAGGTTGTCTTGCCAAAGTGTTTTTTGTGCCTTTTTTTGCAACCATCAATAGTCCACGCTGCTTTCTGGCCTTGATGCGGAGCTTCGTCTTCGGTTCCTCCGGAGCCGTATCCACGCCCACACGTATCAAGGGTTCTTCTGTCGCTGGCCGTGAGGCTGAGCTGCCTATGTCCTTTGAAACGAAACTGCGAGGTTCTGGTAGCTCTCTGTTTGCGAAAACGAGGTGGGAAGCAGATTCATGCAGTATATCGTTGCTGGGCTGAGCGCCTGATTGACGAATAGTTGCTTCGTGTTTCGTATCCTGAGATTTTCGAGTGCTACGCTTCGCAGCTATATTCCTTGGGTTGTCGGTACAGTCATCAGGCTGTTGCCCGCTAATCTCCGGCGTCTCTTCGATTTCGGTTGGAATTTGGTCATCTCCTTGGGTCACTTTACTTCTTGTGACACCCATGCCTGGTGGTTTGAACAGGTTTGGCGCCAGAATGACCTTTGGCGATGCCTCCATTGCGTTGCTGAGACATTCTGCTGTGTCAATAGCCGTTGAGGGCTTGGAGTTATCTGCTGGAACTAGACCATCGTCTGTCATGTCGACAATTGCAGAAGGTCGCAACCACGAGGGTTTGGCGTTTCTGCTTGGAACGGCCGGGTTCGGTGGTGTTGCGGGGAGGAGAGAGCCATTCCCAGGCGTCTGTGCAGGTTGGTATCGTATCGGAGCACTGGCTGACCAAGATGAAAGGCTCAAGGTTGCGCCGAACAAGTTTTGAGCGTAGCCGGACTTGCTTGGAGGTGAAGCATCTCTTTTCCTTCTTTTTGTAAGTCTCTGGTTTTCATCCTGAGGGCTAGAGGATTGCTGAGCGGCGATGCGTTCCTCGTAGGGAGAGGTTATGGGTATGATAGCCCTTCCCTGTGGCCCGCGAGGAGTGCTGAAAACGTCGGCGAGGTGGCGTTGCCTAAATTGGGCCTGGGGGTGGTTCTGGGATACAGCAGACGGCCGCACAGCAGGACGGAGTGAGTTTGCGGCGGCGGCAGAAGAACGAGCGTGTCTCTGCTCAACTTCCCTGGCTCTCTTGTCGAGGAGCTCAGTGAGGTCCTGATCTTTGCTGCCGACGCACTCGGCGACCTGAACTATAACGGCGCCTCGCTCCAGGTTAAACTCTTCGCCTTCTCCGAAATCGAAGTCCTCGCGCCAATGCATGTCACCGATGAAGTTACCCCTCTCATCGTACACCATGATGCGCTTGTTGAACGTATGGAACTTGAGCCGGCCATCCTGCCATCGCTTCTGCTTGCGTTTCAGATCGTGGGTAAATAGGCAGATATATTCCAAGACAGGGGCGGCGATGGGCAGGCCAAAGACCGGCTGGTTGCTGCTGTTATTGTTGTTGTTGTTGTTGCTGTCATGGCTTATAAGAGGCATCTTGGCCGTAACGACTGCCTTGTATGCAGACGACACAACCCATGACTGGTTGTGGAACTGCGCGGGGTGGCGATGGGCTAGCCTTGGTCAACACAGGGTGATTGCAATAGAGAAGTGAGAGAAGACGCGCCTCAGCGCGTTGGTTTGGCGAACCATGACGCCTACCCACGTGATGAGCACGTGATCCTCCAATATGAGCATATGCTGCCTCGATTGCAGCCGACGTACCTCCTCGCTTCTAAGGGCTATCTGTACCTGCCGTACGTTGGGGAATGTAGGTACATGGAACAATGAAGCCGAATATTACGAGCTTCGGCTTCTACGTCGTTCTTATAGGTGAATAGTCTCTGAATCTTGTCTTCAACCCGAACGATTAAGTGGCACCACAGTAAGACTTGACACGATGTCGCGTCTGCTACGCAAGAGAGTTGGGACCACATTGCATTCATTGCTTGCCACTAATTACAGGGTATCCAATTGGGAAACATCCTAGCGGGGGGTGGGGGTTTGAAAATTGGCTTGTCTACGTACTTGCTGGGCCTCTACCTATTCACTATCCTATACTCGGGTCAAGAGACAGCAGCACGGCAATTGGCAGATGATCAACCGTTTTGCGATATTCATACAATCACTTCCGCACATGAAGTGCGGCAGATTTAACATCTTACACTTCGTTACCTTTTCGGCATCTACGGTCGTCCCAGGCGGCCTGTAGCTTGGTCTATGATGCTAATGACTTGGGGCACCGGCATAGCCAAGGTACATGAACGTATCCAAGCGACATGGTTAGCTAAGGCAGGCGCTTGGCCTGCCTGTTCCTGGAGTCGCTTTTCCCACCGCCAAGCTGGGTGGCTTCGACATGTGCCGGCAGCCGATCATAGCTACAGTACCAGGAGATGCTTCGCGAGTTTATTGGCTTGGGTTGTCTTACTGCACCCAGTTGACTCACACCGCCTTGAGGTGGGTGGTTGGTTGGCAGCCTTCGCAAAGAGCTCCGACGCCTCAGATCATTCATCGTCGCCCAACCTCTTCGACGATGGGGTTCTCCCATTGACTTGCACACTTATGGATTCGGCCAATGTGCTATCCAGTTGTATGTTGCGTACAGCACTGTACCTGAACTGTGTCTTCCACAGAGCAACGAGCAAAATTCAGGTACCGCGATGGATCAGTGGAAGGAATATTCAGTCTCTCCAACCCAATGAACATCAAGAGGCAAAGAAAAGACACAGACAACCGTGTCACGGCATGGCGTAGCGCAGTACTTGTGCAGCTCGGCTCGGGGTCGTTTTTCGTCCCTTTTCTTGTTTCAGCCCCCAGTGTTAATCATCTGTACGATGTTGGTCCCTTCCGCCACTGTCGGACGATACAAGATGGAATCCAAGTCGCAGGTACACAAGAACGGACACCCGAAAATGTCACCGGAAGCGCATAACAGACATTAAGGGATGCAAATTGCAGACGTGCGTTTCCTTTCCACAGAACTCCACAAACGACCGAAGCCTGAGTCCATGTCTTCCGTGACCAGGGCGGCGCTGGGCCGGGTCCCTGGGTTGTTTGCTCTACTGGCGTCGTAATTCGTTGCAAAATTGCTTGGGTCCCTCCTCCAATGCAACCATTCGCTCTCTCTTTCACACTCGGCTCTCCTGTGTAATATTCTCTGCCCCTCCTTCCTCGCCCTATGTCAACCAAAAGCACCCCTCTCCGCATCACACATTCGCACTCTACCTACGTTACATACCTTACGGTCCTTGCCTCGCTTGTCTCACGCTACCAGTCGTCCTGGACAAGCTCCGTCACATAGACGCGACCTTCCTCTGGAACTCCTCCATCCAATGTACCTCGCCTGCTTGCCGGCATCGCCTTAGGCACAGAGGTACCGACAAATACACCTGTACTACCGTCAAGACGCGTTAGCGGCAGCTGCTTTTCTTTCACCCGCCTCGCTAGCCAACCCCCTCAACTTCTATCAACGTCGCACCGCCAGTGCACCGAAGCAGAGACCGACACCAGTATCCGACTGTCTTTTCCATCTTAAACTGATACGGCATGAGCTTTGCCATCTAGGCCTGTTCCACTGAAGCTTCGAAACTCACATAGCCCCAGCCAATTTGCGTTTTCATTGCCCCCTCGTTCTGCCGCCTCGACCAACGCTCTGGGGTCAATCTGCTCGCGTCTCACCAACAACCGAGACCACGCCCCTCCTTTCCTTCTCAACGTCTCTAGAACGAATATTGTTTCTGTGAATTCCAAACTCCTTCGACTCACGATGCAGTCCGTGCAGAGGCAGTTCGGCAAGCTCATGAGCAAGAGCCCTGGCGACAATGCCAAAATTGCAGCCGTCTTACATGACTACGAGGATGCAGACAGACTGCTGGGCAAGGTACATCACCTTACAGCACACATCCCTTCAAATCCGTCAAGTTAAATGAACTGCTTTCCTTTCTGACTTGTTGTTCCTCTCTGTGCTAGATCATCGAGAACACAAAGACTCTCCGTGATGCCTGGGTAGCCATGGCCACCAGCCAGTGGGCCATTGTGAAGGAATACGAGGGCTTGTACGACCCCATTATTGGAGCTTCTGAGGGTCACACCCGCCCTGGCATCGCGACCCCTCAACTGCAGCTTGATCGCACCTTCAAGCTCAGCGGAGCCTACTCTGACCTTAAGGACGAGCTCATTGGGGAAGTGACAGCCATTGACTCGCAGGTCATCCGTCCAGCCACCGAAGCCCGCGAATTCATTCAGCCACTACGCAAAACCATCAAGAAACGCGAGAACAAACGACTGGACTACGAAAAATCGCAGGATAAGGTTAAAAAGCTTCAGAAGAAGACCGGGAGGACGCCCAAAGAAGAGGCCCAGCTGTCAAAGGTCGAATTTGAAATGTCATGCGCCTCCGAGGTAAGCACCCGCCAGCCAAAAAGAGCGTCATACCCGCTGACGGAATGTTCCCACAGGAGTTCGAGGTCGCAGACGCCCACCTTCGAGATGCCTTGCCCCCATCATTGAAGCCATATTTACCCTAATACCTCACTTGTTGGCCTCTCACGTCTGCATCCAAAACAGGCTTCTTGGGCTGTACTACACCGCGCTCCATAACTACTGCGAGGACCACGGTTTCCCTTCTCCTCCGCCTCCCATGGAAAATGTGATATCGTCCTGGTCTGCCGCATTTCTATCTGTGCAAAAAGATGTAGAGACTATCAGCTGCATAGCACACGGCAAGAACTGGAGGCAGCCGGCCAGAGTAGGGGATGATGGTCAGAGTCGAAAATCCTCGGCATCGTCAGCATCATCACGCAATGGCTTCGCTCGGACATCGTCCGGTGTGAGTGAAAGTCCAGGGCCGACGCCGCGGACCATGCGAATACCTTCAACCACCTCACTCAACCGATCCGCCTTCACTTCAGATGACTCACCGCAACCAAGTCCACAACCGAGTAGTAAGAGCGTTTCACGTTCTCAACTCGGCCTCCCAACAGACTTCACAACTGCCACAGCCCTTGGACAACCTCAGGGCGCTTCGAGTGTATTGCCGGCCTACACAAGCTCCCGCACGGAGTACTTTGGCCACCAATCAGAGCTTGCATCAGATCACAGGAATGCCGTGGCGAAGAAGAAGCCGCCGCCGCCGCCCCCAGCGAAGCGCTCAAAGGCGCCCGAGGAGTATGTTGTGGCCCAGTACGACTTTTTAGGGGGCGATGGAGACTTGAGCTTCCGCGAAGGAGACAGAATCAAGATTGTAAAGAGGACAGAGACAGACCAGGACTGGTGGATAGGCGAGTTGGGTGGCGTAAAGGGTAGTTTCCCTGCCAACTATTGCAAGACCGCTTGAGGCCTTGAGAGATGTGGTTGGCAGAGGGTTTACTTTTATTTAAAGATAATGTCAAACAAAGAACACCATGGTTTAGTGTGAAGTGTTGGTGATCGAGTACCTCTGCACCAGTGAGTGGATATATGGGGGTCATACCGTCCACGCTTCATATTTACACTCGGGCGTAGGCTTAACTGTAGCGGTATGATCACACAACACGAGCAAGCGGGTAACAAAAGCAAAGTTCTCTGAAAAACAGAATGTAACATCTCTCTTGCCACCTCTTTGCCCGAAGCAAACTTCATCGACCTGCCTTGTACCTGCGAAAACCCCAAGCTTTAAACGTGGCGAGGCGAGAACCGCGCCACCCTAGTGCAATGTAAAGAATGTGAGAACGCCGTAGTCCATGCTGTGAACAGATACAAAATGGCTCGCCTCCAGAACCATCATCAACCGAAAGTCATACTTCACTTTTTTCTTTTTTCCTCCCATTTGTCTCCATAAAATCAAGCCTTGCTTACTGTAGTAATCAGAGGGGTATCATAGCCATAAACGATCGTCTCTCAACCAGGTGGTCTTCTCCACCCGGCCCCCCTTTTTTTTTCTCTTTTATTCATTCCTCTTTTCCTAGATTTCCTCGTCGTGATGTTGAAATAATCACAAAATTGTCTGATCGCGATCTTGATTGTCGACACTACTAATGCCTCTCGCCACCTAAAAGGCTTGCGGGCCTGTTTCCACAGCCGGAGAAGTTGCTCCCTCACGGCGTATGCGTTGTTCCTCGGCCCGCAGCACTCGGGCGATTTCATCATTCCGGCCCCGGTCGAGATACCCGCCCTGCTCGCCTTCCAAATCCATCGGCGTGACTGGGCCTGGGCTTCCCAGTGGCAAGAGTCTCGGTGATATGGGCTTGTGGACGCCGGTGGTTCCGATGTGGTGCAGATTCGTTAAGGGTACCCCGTTCAAAGTAATTGTGGAGCTTGGTGCTGCATTGGCTTGATTAGGTGAACTTCCAAGCACTTCGCTAGCGGCCAGCCTTGCTTGCGCGATCATGTCCCGTTGGTATTGTTGGAGTTTGCGGCGGACTTCGGAGTCTTGTCGTGAAGATGCCCTGAAAGCTTCGCGCGTGGGTATATGACCCTCGGATCTCGCCGAGGAGACACGGCTTGGAGGCCCAGAAGGACCGGTCCGCGCGCCGTGGCTGTTCTGCTGCTCGTAGTTGGATGGGTAGTATTTCCCCATTGGTAAAGGGGTATCGTGAACGCCGCTGGGGAGGTAGGATGCGACAGGTGTGTTGGCAGTAGAAACGTCTGAGGAGCCGATAGCGCCCAAGGCAGAGAGGCGGACAGACGGCGCCATGGCTGCGGAAAGAGAAGCGTCACGTAGGTCGGCTTTGGACGAGGAATCGACAACGAGGGAAAGGGAGTGATGTCTCGGACGACCAACTTCGGTTTTGGCTTGGAAAGGGTGTGGACGGTGAATGCGACCCTTTGGGTCTTCGTGAAATGGGAAATAGCCACTAGATAATCGAAGTCAGATTCTTGATTGTTCCTCATACTCCGTCAACAGTTCTACCACAACCTGATACGGTAGGGCTGCAGCATTGTATGGTAATAGTTGGTGGCGTAGGATGTTGAACTGAACTTACCCAAGGACGTCGCCACGGGCCGACAGAGGTTCGGGTGGTGTGGGTGTGCAGGCTGGTGCCGAGCTTATCTTTCGAATAGCGGTAGGAGGTAGTTCAATAGCAATTGGACGAGTGCGATTGTATCGAGCAGACTGAAGAGTGGACAAGTCGAGCTGACATGGTGCGGATGTTTCGCCTATTAAGAAGAGTCGAGGCCGGATTAGTCTCGAGGTCTCCTCTCAGGAACGCAAGGAACATCGATGTATGTGAGATCCTGATCGGGACTGACTAGGAAGAAAGGTAAAAAAAAAGAGAGAGCCAGAGGGGAAAAAAAGAAAAGAAAATGACATGACGCAACGGTAAGGGTCCCTTGGAGCCATGCGAGACGGGAGCGAACTTTGAGAGAAAATAGTAAGAAAAGGGCTTAGCGCAGAGCAAAAGTGACAACTGAATGAATGATGACGATGAGTGACAGGGTCCTGGCTGAGTCAAAACCAAGGCCGCTCCAGCTAACCCAGCCACGGAGAGCCGAGGGCTCAAGTGACCCCAAACCTCCGTTCCCAAAGCCGCAAAGCAGACCAGGGGGCCGCCGCAGCCGGACTGGTCGCAGATACAGGAGGCAACGTGAAGGGGCCTCATGTTGACCCTAACGTCCGTTAGGTATGTCGCACTGCGCAGTCGGCACAGCGCAGTGATGCGCCAACCCCCACTCTCGACCCCAAAAGATACCACCTGATTCCAGCGGCATGGCCTAAACACCAGGTACGGAAACGTAAGGCATGGAAGGCCTTAGACCTCTCTATAAGCAATGCCATGGTAATCCTGCAATGCAGGCGGGGCGCCTTTTGCTGGCCCTTCGCCCTGAGGGTACGTGGTGTGGTAAGCCGGTAGCAGTTCTGGGTTATTTCGAGAACGGTTCTGGCCATGATGTAGCGGACGTAAGCGCTACCTCGTCCCCTCACGCGCGCCCCCTTTCAACGTAACCTTGCCCATGTGAGGTAACGAGGAAAGATCTCCAAGTGAGAGTGATACAGCCACTTGATGTTTCGTCGGAGCCAAACCCACCAGCACGGCTGATTGACTTCAAGCCCTTTCAGTCTCCAAACCCCAAGGCTCTAGCTTTGTGGGTTTGTTGTAGGATGCCTTTGGCAAACATGACAACTTGAGGGAGCGAAAGAATGAAAATGAAAATGAACCCCCCCCATCAAAGAGGAATGAAGGCCAGGGGACCTCGACAGCTAACTGTACCTCCAGACTCGCGCCTGCCTGACTCGATGTCATCTGTCATGAGGGAACACAACGATAACGACCGGGCTCTACCTTCATCGGAGCGCCGACGACGCCGTTGTGCCATTGACGGCCGGGGGCAGGGTATTGAAGCGCATGATAGAACAAAACAGGCGCCACCGGGGGAATTAATAACAGGTGAACTGACCATGCCGCAATTGAAAGAAAGAGAGGTGAGCGAGGGTGAAAACGCAATCATTGACCAGGGCCGGCCTGGGGATAGACTGACCAGGCAAGGAAGCGACCCCCCCCCCCCCCCCCCCTGGGGCGGGGACCGGTAAAGGCGAAGACCAAAATAAATTATGGCAAAACCAAACAAAAAACGGCGGGCAATTGAGCCTGGCTTCGGCCCAAGAATAGCAGAAACGTAAGGAAATATACAAAACAGCAAACGAAATAGTGACCATCATTTGAGTGAAACAAAGCGATATAGCAACATACCTTTGGGAGAACGCAAGTCGGGGTGCGCCAGCGTCTTCGGTCCATCCAGTCCTGGCTTCTCGTGAGCCGGTGTGTTAAGCCCAGACATGAGCAAGTCGCAATGGTCGTCGGAGCGAGAGCCCGTCGATGCAACCGATACATCTGAAGAGCTGGACAAGGTCCTTCCAGGCATGGCCGGTCGTCTTGCCCTCAAATAGGCCGGTGGTTTGAATGAACGACCCAGGCTTGCCATGTTGATTCCTTCCTTTCCAACGCCTGGTGGTTCTTGGTGCTGGTCAAAATCGCCCGTCATGCCACGCAGGGGTTTGTGGTAATATAACAGCCAATGCCTCGCGGCGAAGCTAAGCGACCATCAAACAGGATACTGCGATGACTGGCTGAGAGGGAGCCTCGTTGGTCTTTGTGTCCGTTTGTGTCCGTTTGTGCTGTGTGTGGAGTGTTGACGTCGTTGTCGTCTTCGTCCTAGTTGGGGTTATTGAATGGCCGTTTCCTTGGCTTGTCTCTGTCGGGGTTGTTCTTTGGCCGATATTCCTCCGCCTCTTTACACTATCCCCTCGACAGCAAGTTGTCAGACCAGTGCAGGATCGGGCCAGGGAGAGCGGGGAAAATGATGGTTGGCGGTAGGTAGTCTGTAAGAAGGTGGATATCATGTACGGGCGTGGATGCGTACGTGCATGCGGTGAAGGGTGTTGTCGGCGTCCTATTGTTCTCTCGTATCGCAGGAGATGTGCAACGCCGGGGCCCGCTTGAAATGGCGAGAACAGTTGCAAATACTCGCGAAGGACAGAGCCGAGGCTCGAGAGGCGGCGTTCAGCTTCAGGTCCGGCGAATAACTCTCAGCGCTCCTTCAAGTGTTCCAAAGCTCCTCGTTCGGGCGATGCCAAGGTCGCGTACAGCCCGAGTGGTCTTGGGTTGGAAGCCGGATTTCCGGGGAGACGTCGTTCGAATCACTTTGGCGGGTTACGACGATGTCCGTCCCGTAAGGCCCTGAGCGATATTACCCAGGGCATGCAGCGCGCAGAAAGCCGAAGGGTTCCGTTGACGGTGGCCTGTGCCTGCGTCCTGCGTCTATGCTTGCAATCGTGGCTGACCTTGTCAGGGCCAGTGTTTTCGTGATATTGAAATTGGCGATATATGGATGCGAGGTTGGTATGGAGCGGTTTCGAGTTAGGTTGTGAGGTTGATCCAAGATTGTCGGCGCAAGGAGAGATAGTGGTGGTGGCAACGTGAGGGAACAGCAAGCTGTTCAGAAGCAAACGAATATTAATAGTGTGAAAGTCGTCCGTACGTAGATGTGGACGCGAACGGGTTTGGCGGTGGCTTCAGAAGCTAGCTGAAGACCCGTGTCCGCCAGGGTCTTTTTTATTTTTTTTATTCCTAGTTGCACCTCAAGATTGATGATCCCTTTAGTTTCTTGATATTTTCCAGAGGGGAGGGAAGGAGGTATCGAGGATCAACAAAAGACAGCCATGCAGTTGTGCTGCGTAGTGCGGCTGGTGGTGCCGCTGCCGTCGAATGGTTGGATGGATTGCCTCGCAGGTATCTCACATCTCAACATGGTGGGACAAGTTGCAGTGGGATGGGAAGCGACGGACTGAGGAGAAAGTGGAGGGAAAGACACAAGGGTCCAAGGGTCTCCCATCGCTGGTGGCCTGCACCGTTTTGATAGGTACGGACGGGTCCGTTAACAGCACCATTTTGGGGTCTACGGCCGAGACGCTGGCCACTTTGGAAGAGCGTAAGCCGGCCGTTCAGGGATAATGCGGCAGATTGACCCGTACCGTATCAATACCGTTCACTGTGGTGGAGCTAGAGAACGTGGGTACCTAGCAGTCCACGTTTTGCAACATGGAAGGAAAGTGCTGGCGGGACTTGCACTTTTCTCCCTTGACCATCAGACTCTGTTTGGGGGGCATTTGTTGGCGTAGGTTCGCAGTTAGACCAGCAGGTGCGTCTAAAATCTACATTGTACCGAATTTCGCTGCAGCCGCTCGTCTTTCGCCCTCCTCGCCTCTGCGTTCCGTATGAACGATAGTGATCGCCTTGACTCTTGGTTCTCTCAGAGGAGGGTCGTGGTCTGGGAGAGACGGTTAGGTCCATCACCCAGGTAGTGACTTTTCCGGTTTCATTAAGTGGGTCTCCCTGCGCCCAACCTGCATGCTCGGGTACCTTTGAAGGAGCCCCATCAGGTATCGGTGAGCAAAGGAACCTTGTGGTGGTCCGTGTGGTGGCTTCGTCTCCGAGGTAGGTAGGTAGGTATTCAACGTGCCTTCGCAGTTCCGTCTCCAGTCGGCGGATTCAAGCCGGCAGGACAGCAGCAGGAGGGAAGAAGAAAGGTAGCAAAACAACCCAAACCCAGCCTTCAACATGGAGCAACAAGCAGCCCGCGGTCTCGCATAGGTGCTGTAGCTCATCAACTAGCACCGCGGGTGCGTCTCTGCTCAGCTTTCGCATCAGCAAAATCAAGAGATGAGGCAACCTTCACTAACACCACTGTCAGCCAGGATGACCTGAAAACTCCTAGGACTCCTCACGTCAAGGTGTCCCAGGATGCACAAGCACTCTCACCTCATCTGTCCATCAGCTAGTCCTTTGGCCAATCCTCAGTTAGGCACGAACTTACGTGATGCCTTACCTGGTTGCGCCCAAGTGTTGGACTGGAAATGCCGTTGTCGATCGTTGGCGTCGATCACCACGACCCGTCCAAGCAAAACCAGCAACTCCAAAACCATCCCTTCAATCTGTCGTATCAGCACTACCACCATGTCCGACGAGCTTCGGCGGTGTTGGCCATAGGTGGGCCCAAGGTCAATTCGAGTCCGATGCTGTCGCACTGTCCCCATTTGACTTTATCCTCTGACAGTATGTTCGTCAACTCCAGCCACATATATCGATGGACGCCAGTTATTCCATTGGCCTACGCTTGGATCGGAGACCAAGGGCGCTGTTATCATCATCTCCGCACGTCCTTCTCCGTCAGCTTGGTGTCGAGCGGGTGGCGAGCATCATTGCAGATACGCCACAGAGCCTCTGCCTCCAACGTGAAACAACGTCCACGTCCAGCGCCACTAAGGTCGACCCTTGTTGCCACCGGCTTCTGCGGCTTGCCCATCACATCTACTTGCATCTTCCCAAGGCAGACAAGCTACACTTGACTTTGAGGGCCATGAACACGGCTACTTGACTTGGTTTCCACCGTCCGACGATGCTGCTGCTGTGCCTGGCTGCTGATCCTGACCGTTTCCACCTGCACCATAGCCGCCTGGGAAGTGGTCGCTATGAAGAGCACCCTCTCCCACCTCGATGTAATTTTGCCGCCAGTACAGATAATTGGTACCGTGACGGGATACACCGCCTCAGGGATAGGTAGATTGGCATCTTGGTGCCCACTGTTACCACTTCGGGCACTCGTTGGGGCCCTGACACTCCCTTGGAACTCCCTCACTGCCTGTACCATTATCTGGCTAGGGTAAATCGCCAAAGACCACGTCGGTTCGTGACCGCTAAAACAGACCGACAGGTGATTGTGGACCAATGTGTGGTCAAACGCAGCCGGAATGGCTGGTGGAAAGATGCAATGCATGCAACTGTTCGTGGATATGTGCCATCCAACGATTATCTCCTTTCCCCTCATTCCATCACCCTACATTCCCCTAACTGCTTGGCCCCTTGGCTCCCGAATCCACTACTCGTTCGTCCGCAATGCTCGATTCCTCAGTGTTGGCCGATCGGAGCCTGCTCTGTGCTCATTACCGCTGTACCCGGGGGATGAACAAAGACACCGTTGTGAGAGGCTGGGGTTGGAAGAAGCCTGGTCTCAGGAGCGTTGAGAGGATCCAGTGGAGTTGTAGTGTATGCAGGATTCGTCCAATTCATGAGCTAGGCCGTGGCTGTATTTTGAGAATCAGAAGCAAAAAACATACATAACAAAAACATTACCGCTGATCCTGCCGTCGATCTTTGTCATCCCTCAACGACTGCATTATTGTGAGCCGACTCTTGCCCAACGCTGTGGGTTGCGACATGTTTGCTCCCTGAAGGTAGACATTGCAATTGCTTTTGCTCTGTTGGTCTTACATGATTGACGACGCAGCAGGGTAGGGCCCATTGATGTTGCGTCTCGAGGGCTCTTTTGGTTTCTGTTCGATGCTACTGGCTCAATTGCGGCTTTACCAGGGTCGGATGAAGCCTGGATACCCAAGAGTTTGAAGGCGCCCGACCGTTCGCCCGCCGACGATACCTTGTTCGACTGTGGCAAAAAGAAGACAAAGAAGGAAGGAGAAAAAAGGGATAATTTGCTCGGAGAATCGGAAGCTGGTGACGGAGATACCATAGGATCAAGCCCGGACGACACACGAGCTCATTCCGTCAATGTAGTGTACATTGACGGATGGACTGGCGTGCCATGTCGCGTTGAGCAGTAGTGTACCCAAACGATTCGTCCAGTTTGGGATGGGCGTTTCCTTGGGTTTGGATGGATTTTCTTTTCTTTCGAACCCGCGCCACGCTCGCTAATCTGTCAAAGAAAAGCAGCCACGAACGCACTGGCAGGGTCATCGAAGCCACTACGTCATGGCGCAGCGGATGGCCACCGTTGCTTAGCGCCTGCGGGGCTGGGAAGACACGGCCATACGATCTTGGCATTTTACTTCTGTCCTTGCCTGTCCTGGACATCAGTCTCGCCGGACAAGGCAGTGATCCTACATCACTAGCTTTATGGTAAGGACCGTCCCAGAGAGTCAGGAGAAACTCCTCCGGGGGCTATGCATTATTATGTGGAATAGCTTTCAATGCACGCACGCACGGCACGGCACCAGGCCCGAGGGTCCCTGGGGATTCTGGGGCCGCCGATGATGAGATGGATGGCTTCAGACGACAAAGCAGTCCGTCAACCCGTCACGCGCCCTCAAGAAAAGTCCGCCGGTTTGGTAGGGTATAGAAGCAGTAAAACCGGCGGGGTTTTCTTGAGGGCGCGTGCCCGTGCAACCTCCCATACTCCTTCAGTACACACCGGGGGACCTTTCGGACCAAGGGCCGGAACGTGGGCTGGGGTGTGCGGGGGGACCACTTACCTCCGGCGACGGCGCTGACGTTGGCACGATAATAGGGGTCATTGGTGGAGATCTCAGGGTTGCACACAGCTACCTCGAACACGTCTTACTAGCTTCCATTATTCCGGCATTTATCTGCAACTTGGTAACTGAACGACGAATATGGTATCGCTAGATACGGTCAGTATTTCACATGATGGTATTTGGAACACGGTCGACAGGGGGCATGCACGGAAGCCAATATGGGTGCTTGAACAGTGTGGTGGAACTCTTATCGATTTGAGACGGCATGGTCTGAAGAATTCCAGACGTTCGTAAACCGTTCTATTATTGGAAGAGCTACGTAGGAAAAGAGGGCGAACAAAACAGAAGAATAAGAAGAAAAGGAGCATGCTGAGCCTCGCCGAGGTTCTGGTATCGTTTTTCGCGGCAAAAAAAAACCCTTCTCCCCGAACACCGGCTTTCGTTATAGAATATGACAATGGAATACTATCGTGTCGAGAAGGAGTACCAGCTCGTGCCTTACTAGCGAGGAGAACTGCCTTCTGGGTTTGATCAACGCTTGCAAGACTCTACTGGACTGATATTTTTCGTCTAGACCTTTCCACGGCCTGTGAATCGAGTGCGGCGCTCACGATGTCTCCACCAGTAGGCAGCGGTGGCCAGGGCACTGATGAGCCAGAGGAGGGCGTTGGCCAAGTCCACCCAGACAGCGTTCTTCATCCGCTGAATCCCATTGTCGCCCTCAGCATTCTCCTTGATGTACATCTGTAGCAGGGTTAGTAACGGTGTTTGGGACACCAGGGGGGCAGGGAGTCTGGTGGAATAGGTAATTCTTACACTACCAAAGAGACCAAATACGGCGATCCACAGGATGAATAGGATGACATCCCAAATCCATACAATGGCGAAGCGCAAGATGAAGGGGATAAAGTACAGCAAAGCCGTAACGGCGGAGAGGGCGCCGACAACCACTGCAAAAACCTGCGCGCAGATGTCAGTTAATTGTCGTCTCATCTGCAGAGCGGGCCGTGCAAAAGCGCAGCGAACAACACTGAGGAATTGCAATAAAAACGTACCCATTTCCCGTCGGTATAGCTACCCTCGCTCCTAGCGTGGTTGAGGTCGACGGCATAAAGGCCGCAGACGGTCACGGCCAGAACGAACTGGAAGAAGTGCAGTACGGAAAAGGCGAGATAGCTCGCCGCCATGCCGAAAAGGCCCATCTTGCAGTGAAAGCGAAAGCGTTCGCAGGTCCGAGATAGTGATTATCAGGAGGCGGATTCAAGGAATCGGAAGTCGTCGTGGGTGCGGTCGAGTACAAACACCAAGGTGCGTTCAGTTGGTGCTTATTGGTCACTGCTGGTGGTGGTGATGGGAATCTGTTGGATGGGGGACGGAAGAAGAAGAAGACGGTTTAAGGCTGAAGGTTGGGCTGGGGTTTTCTAGGGAAAGCGACGGACGAGATAGGTGGTGAATCAGACACGCTCAATCCTGCTTAGGGAGGGCTCGAGAGGTGATAGTGTGGTGATTTGATCATGCCGCTAGGGCGCTAGAGCAGGGACAAACAGGTTGATCAACACCGCGATTGTCTTGAAGCCGGCTTGGAAAAAAAATAAGGGAAAATGACCCTTTCCAGATGGTCCCCTATGACGCAACGGCAGCATTAGTGCCGGGGCTTTGGCCAATGAGAGATACTGAAACCAGTTCCTGTAATTGCGGCAGGGGTGTCAAGGTGTGCTGTCACGCCCGTGTCATTGCTGGTCAAAGCTTCTTAGCTTAAGCTTGTTAGCAACCTTTGGGAGTGGGCAGCTGCACTCTGGACACTCTCCTTCTCGCCGGCGAGCGTCAGGGGAGCATTGGGCGACAAATCAGGGACGCCAGGTACCAAGTGCACTCTGACACCTCAGGGTTCTTGATTCGAGTCCAACGACCTATGTCAGCAAAGCACCCATGAGCCTAATCTGCTTATAATCACCGACTTTGCTTTCCATGCTCACATTGAACTGCAATCGCTCATGGATGGAGTTGAGTAGAGGTTCGTGGGCTGCTCTTTGGCCCTCGGAATGGACAGGCTAGTACGTCTCACCGTGTATTAGGTATCCTGGCGTTACAAAGGTCTCACTTCAGCTAGCTCAGCTCAGTCATGACAGGCGCTTGCTTAATGGCGCACACAGTTATTAGACAACGGCGTGACATGAATAAACCAAGAACCAAACCGAACTAGAGCCGCCGTGTGATCAAGCAAGGCCCTCAAATTTAACAATCATCAGCTGGCATGCACGTATACGCTAGAGTGTTCCTTCCCGCTCTTGCTGATCACGAGCGGCCCGAACCTGACAGTGATGAAGACAAGCATTGCACGGCACAGTCGGGCGTCCTGCACTCTGGGACGGATCGATGATGATAGTGATGTCGGATTTCCAACTGCTTGGCCAGATATATCGCCTATTCGCCCACTCATCCGCTCGCCCGTGCGTGTGCCTGGATCGACACAGATGAGATAGCGCCTCACCTTGCGTGTTCCGAACCATTATACGTTGATCAGATGGCTGCTGAAATGTGTCCCTGTTTACTATGAAATGGGCCGCTCCTCAGTCTGCGTCAATTTCCAAAAGTAAAGCGCTGCGCCTGGAGCAGAAAAAGTGATGGAACAGAGGATGGCATCGTCAATATGGGATCGTGGAAGACGTGCACTGATGTACTAGACCTCTTTTCTAGAATGTGTTGCAAAGATGCCTCGGATACCGCCATCTTCCCCGCAGGGATCGCTTCCGACTCCCACCACCACCGGCGCACACAAACCACCCAAGCCACCTCGGGCTCGGTCCGATTCGCTGTTCATGGTTTCTACATCTACAGTGTATGTACCTTTGCTCTCGTTCTCCGAACCGACCTGCGGTGTCTCAAAGACAGATACAGCACGAGGGATCCGTAGCACAAATAATGACAGACGCAACCCTTGGGGCCAAGGCGGACCTGCCATCGCCGCCCTTTCACGCCATCCCGGGCCTACCCAACTTCCGTGACGCCGGCGGCTACCCCATCGATGCCCAGCCCGGCCGTATCGTCAGGCCTGGTGTTGTCTTCCGTTCCGCAGAGCCCTCCCGCCTCACCGACGACGGCGTCGCCCGCCTCCAGGACCTCGGCATCACCCACGTCTACGACCTCCGCTCCACCATTGAGCTCAAGCGCCTCGCCCAAGCGGGAACGAGCTGCGACGTCCGCGAGTGGCCCGGTGCCCAGCGCGTCTTCGTCCCCGTCTTCAGGGACCAGGACTACGGCCCCGAGGCCATTGCCCTGCGCTATCGTAACTACTCCAGTAATGGCACCGAGGTGAGCCCCCGCCCTTTTTGCAGCAGGATGTGCGCTCCAGATCAAAAGCTTAGAGACTTCTCTCTCACGGCCGGTTCATATTCTAAACAACTCATAGGGCTTCACCAAAGCCTACAGCGACATCCTACGTACCGCCTCGGAGCCTGACCATCCCAATGATCCCTTCCGCACCATCCTCTGCCATCTCGCCACCTCCAAGCCCCCATCTCCGATCCTCGTTCACTGCACCGCCGGCAAGGACAGGACAGGCGTTATCTGCGCGCTCATTCTTAGCCTCTGCGGCGTTTCAGACGATGTCGTTGCCCACGAGTACAGCCTGACGGACATTGGCCTTCAGGACCGCAGGGAAGAGATTGTTCACCACCTCCTCGCCACCGAAGCCCTCAGAGGAAACCCCGAGGGCGCTCGGCGCATGATTGGTTCCCCGTACGTACGCCCTCTTGATTGTGTAGCGGTCCTTTGTTCCACATCTCAGTGATGTGCCTGCCTGTGCCAACACCGCTAATGTCGAGATCAGAAAGGAAAGCATGCTTGCGACACTGGCCAAGCTTCGTGAGGACTATGGCTCGGTTGAGGCTTACGTGCAAAACAGATGTCGCCTATCGGCAGAGGCTATTGATCAGATTCGGATTAATCTCACGGTAGATGTTGCCGACGGACATCAAGTAGTAGACTGGGTATCTCACACGAAATATTTGCTTTCGATATAGTTGAATAAATTGTCTTTTGCTGGGCTCGTACTCTTTATTTGAGCCGGCCCTTCCGCTCAATCGTCGTTATACAGGTACATGTATGTATACAGTAGGTAGATACAGTCGCTTATCATACAAAGGGATAAACGCCAACGTGGAGCACCGTATAAGCCAAGAGGCTTGACCCATCTTTCGGTGGTTTGGGGGGTATCATGGTCCCTCCTCGGGATGCCGTTACGTCTCGGCGCCGTCCATAACCTCGAGGGAAGGGAGAGGGAATAAGGTGTAAAAATATACTCAAGGCACCGATGTGGGAATCTTGAGCTCGCCCTTCTTGCGGTCGTAGAAAGGAACGCCATATCTCCAGCCGACGCCTCTTCTGCTTCGGCCGTCCTTGCCAGCGCTCTCGACGTTCATCTCCTTGAATCGGAACTCAAAACGCCCAGTGTCCACACGCTGGGTCTCTTCTTCGGCCTTCTCCAGGCGGCGGCGCTCCCTCTCCACCAGTCTATCCTCTTCAGCCCTTGTGGCCTCTCTGAACTTCTTGGTCAAGTCAGCTCTAGAACCGCCAGCAGCATTAGCTTTCCTCATTGAGATCAGCTCCTTGTGTGGTGAACGGTCATCAACAGAAAGCATTTTTCTGTGGAACGCCTTCGCGGCATCTTCTCTATCGAACTGGCGAGACTCCGACACGGGCACGAATAGTTGTTGCATCGTAAGCTTGTGAACATGGATCTCGTTGATGGGCTCATGAGGAGTCTGCAGGTCCGGTCTGTCCTTATTCAAATGGGTCTGAGGCAGCATTTGCATTACCGCCCTAGCGTATGGCCGAGCCAATGGTTTACGCTATTGAGTCAGGTTATGTTAGCTGACTGAAAAGTCTAATAAAGTGTGCGATAATTATTGGGTAGGATAAGCAAATCAGAGAGGCTCGCAGTGCCAAGGTGTAACCATATGTTGCGTCTTCAAGACTAATCGAATTTTGGAAAGTTGATCATCATGATGCTGGGATAGGATCCATGTTTGGATAACAAAAGTGAGATGTCGATAACTTACCTCGGCAACCCACTGCTTCTCGACCTCCTTCATACGCACAACGGCAGCGACGCGGCGAACATCGACTCCCAGCTCGGCCGACACAAGCTTCAGCGATTCCTTCTTGTCTTTGACCCTAGCAAAGATCTCTTCCCTCATGTCCTCGCTTAGCACCGGTTGACTTTTGAAGAACGGATTCATCGGGAAAGGCTGATCCTCGTTCATCGATAGGTACTTGGGTCCGTCACGAGGGACATCGCGGAAGATAGAACCCCGAGTCTTCAGCCAAGTCTGAAGTTCATGCTGCGGCTTTGACCTTCTAGACTGCTGTGACGTTGTTGAGAAGGCGCAAGCAATTTGTGTGGCTGGCCGAGACCGTGATGCTGTGCTCGCGTGAGCATCACACCACTTGGCCCCAAGGGCCAATGGCGATAATGACGAACAGGCTCGTGGCGGCATTGTGATCAACGTGGTCTGGCCGCGGAAAGCGCGCCTGAATTCACCGAGTTACGGCGAAGCGACCATCGGAAACCTGAGTGAAGGTTGGTGTAGCTGTGATGGGAAAGGGAGAAATTCTTAATCGTGTCCGAAATTTTCCTTCTTTTTCTTAGGAGCTGATGCACGGACCACGCTATTCCGCATTAGTCATGCCACCTGGTGCCTCAGGTGCGCTCTTCCCAATGCCCAGCTCCGCTTTTCGAAGTATCACGGTCGACGACGGCATCACCTCCTGCCTTGTTCGTCAAGCCTAAGTGAATCGTTGATAAGCTCCGGGACCCGATAATTCGTGCTAATTAAACAGGTAACAGTGTGAAAAATTTCTTTTCTGCCGCCTCAAAGCACGGAGCAGAGACCCTTCTAAGAACGGTGGCCTCCTCCTGGCACCGACTTTGAAGCTGCAAACATGTTACCAGGGGAAATTGTTGCTTCGTTTGTGCTGATTAGAATTATTACACTCCGTGTGTTCGCGCTACATGATATCGTTCTGCGCATCCCTCTTCGTATATTCCATTTGAGACGTTCCTTTCCTTGGAAGACCAAGTGCCAGCAACAGCAGACACTTCTCTGTCGTTATAATAACAGTACAGATGACCCTCCAGACTGCTCACTCGCGTATGTAACCCAGATATTTATATTATGGTCGTTAAACCGGGTCCAATAAAGGAGCTATCGCGAAGAGTATACCTTGCACGATCGTTCCCATCCTGTTTTGAGCATAAGCTTCTGTAGCGGCGATATGAAGATAGACATTGGTATTCGGCAACACCATCGCCAAATGCCAATAAGCCTTACAGCATTCATCATGCTGGAACAGATGTCATCGACAGTCGGTTTTTCTTTGCTTTCGTCTTAAGAGCCGCGGATTTCTTTGCCTCGGCTTCGTCGTTTTGCTGGGAGAAATCCTTCCATCTCCTCCAGCCGTCAAAGTCAATCAGGGCCTGCATGCAACCCCATTCCATGACTTTCCTCTCCAGCCAAACAAAGTTGACAGGCTATGATTATGAAGTTAGTTCGGAGCATCTGAAACGAAGAGGGCAAACCCAAGGTTAATCACATACCTTTGTAAGGAAGTCGTTGCAGCCTGCGGCCAGCGCCTCGTGTCTGTCACTTTGGAGAGAGCTGGCAGTCAGGGCTACTATGATGACTGGGCTCTTGAACAACTCCATGTTTGTTAACTTGTCCTTCTCCTCAGGCTCGCCGTTAGGGGCCTCGGGCACGCTGGACGCAGACGAAGAGAAGACACCAATTGAGTTGACTCTCTCCAACCTTCGGATCTCCCTAGTGGCCTCCAATCCACTCATGATGGGAAGCTGAATGTCCATCAAGACAAGATGGAACCCGCCCGTCCTCCACATGGTGACGGCATCGCGACCGTTGACTGCCGTCTTCCATCTCACCTTCAGACGCTTGACGAAAGCCTCAAGGAGCTTGAGGTTGATTGGGTTGTCTTCTACGATCAGTACGTTGATGGGCGGCACTCCACCGTTCAATATGCCAGCCGGTAGAGTCGGATGGTCAACGTTCTTCTTGGTCTTCTTAGGTCGAGAACTTGCTGGGCGGGGAGAGGCAATCCTTGGTGGGGGAGTCGCGACTCTAGCCGGCTGGACCTCAGGAGCGGGAGGTGTTGGGAGCGGCGGAGCAACCGGGGGGACGTTAGATTGCTCCGACGTATTCGAGTGTGTTCTTGATGGTGGTAACCGTGGGTGAAACGAATGGGCAGGGTGAGCGGCTGCGGCTGCGGCTGCGGCCGCCGCCATGGACTGGGCATTGGCCTGGTTTAGGATAGTGGGCGACGAGGTATGTGTTCTACCGAGGCGGGGACGTTCAGGACGTTCTCGGTATGCACGGGATCTTGTGCCCCCGGGGAGGGTATCGGCGGTATTTGGCCCGTCCCAAGGATCGCGATGGAATGTTGCGCATGCGTGGTATGGGCGTGGACGGGGTGAGCGGGATGGGCAGGATGCGTCGCCGGGACGGTGACGGGAGCGACAACAGGAACAGGCAGGTTTGGCGAGGGAAGAGGCGCCGCTCCCGCTACTGGAGGGAAATATCCTTCGCCAGCCTCGGAGGGCCTGCCATCATCGTTATAGTAGATAGTAGTAGCATGCGTCGGGGCGCGCGGTGATGGCCTTGGCGTGCGGCGACTGGGAATATCGATGACCAAGGCCTCGTCAACATTCTGGCCGCCAGGAAAGTACGCATCGAGAGTGCGACCCATGGGCTCTTCCGGGCCTAAAAGACGATCTTGCCTTTGTTCGCGCGGACATATCCGCAGAGTGAGGTCGGGAGAGTCGAAGTGTCTGCCCAGGGAGTTGGCGTATTTTCTCAAAATCATGTCGCGCACATCATCGACCAGGTCGTCCTCATTAATAGTGATGAGGGTGGGAGAGGCACCGGGGCGCCTAACCCATACCTTGCGGGTGACCATGTTTGCGATGTTTGGGAGCAGCGAATCGGTGGCGGCTGAATCGACTTCGTGGTCTGCTCGTGCGTCGAGCAAATTGCGGATTAGCGTCGTTTGGCGGTTGGGTATGAGGCTCTGTCGACGGGGAGGACCGTCTGGCCGCGGCAAGTTGGGGAGGATGATGGTTGCGAGGGGTGTCGGAGTGCCGAGGGCATGGCTGAGGGGATCAAGTTGATCGTCGCTGAGGTCCTCGGCAGAAATAGCCTCGAGAGTAACGGTGGGAGCCGCGCCGATCTTGGGCGGCAATGGTTGATGGACTTGCGGCAGCGGCAGGGGCTGTGGCGGATGAAGTTTTTGACTTCTGTCGTCAGCCTCGGGAGTTTGGTCTTCGTTGATGCTGGGGAGGTTGTTGCTAGGAACAGTCGCAACAGCAGTGGTTGTTGCGGATGAGCGCAGATGGTTGTCCATCGGTTCACTAGCCAAGCGTCGGTAAGACGCGGCGGGCTGCATCGGAGCCAGCGAGTCAAGGTTGGGGTGTGGCTTGTGAGTGTCGTCCCCAGTGTCTCTGTTGGCCGTGTTGCTGGCACTGCTTGCGGGCCCGTGGTTGTTTGCTGGTTCAGTTGCAGTAGCTGTAGCTGTAGTGGCAAGAGTAGCTGGGTTATCCTCTATTACAAAAGAGCTGTCGCTGCTGCGATTCGCATCATCATCATTCTGATTGCCATGATAGACCGGGTCGTCATGGTGTTGTTTTTGTTGATGTTCTGATGATGGCGACGACGACGACGACTGTGGCGGCAAATGCTCTTCTTCTCCTGGGTGGTGCTCCTCAGCATTGGTACCCTCCGCTGCGGTATCCGTAGGTGCAGCCGTAATTGCACTCAATCTCTGCTGCAGCGAGTGGTCGCCTGGGCTGCCGGGGGGTGGAGGTGTGCCAGCAGGACCTGCACCAGATGCTGTGAGTGGTGTGGTGGGCTGTGGCTGAGTATGCAGCTGCAGATTGTGGTGTGGCTGGTACGGAGTCGGCGAGCGCGAGGGAGGTGTGGAATGGGGTAGGTGCGTATGCGGGTGCGGATGCTGGGAGCTCGCCCTCGACCTGGGAACGGATGCAGCGGCTGAGGATTGCCGCGTAAGACTCGTCCCATCCGCTGGCTGCGAGCCATGGGCATCGCCGTTGGTGCTTGTGCCGGTGCCGTTAGACGCCAAGGATGGTGCAGCCGAATTTCTCCTAGAGAATTTTGCTCGGAGACGAGCTCGAATGTCACCAGCAGTACCCATGGGGCTCACCTGCAGCGCGAGGGAGAGGGTGACTCCCAGGCGAGATGCGAGGGCGAGGCAGGCTGCTGCGATCCGGCGCGGTGTTGTGTCTTGTCGCGTCGTCGTCTTGGGTGTCGCCGTGCCCTTGTGCTGGCGCTGGTGGTGGTGTTGGCGGGTCTCTTCCTGTCAAGTGGACGGAGATTGAGACACGCCGAGCGGACGAAGGACAACGGACGATGGGATGGCTGGCGTGGGTGGCATGGGATGTGGATTTGATATCAGGTGGCCTCGGGTAAGGTGAGGAGGGAGGGAGGGATGGAGGAAGATGGATGCCAATGAATCTGTAAAGCTGGAGAAGAGATACGGTGAATTACGGTAAGATACGGTGAGCAAAGGTGGACAAAAGTGGAATAGATACGATGGGGGTGTTCGGCAAGAAGACGGGGATGACCAGAATGACAAGCGAACAGATGATGAATGTGCGCGTTGGATTCTTGGGGGGAAACCTGTGTAAAAGACCGAAGTAGTAAGGGGAGAAACCGAAAATGAAAGGGATGAGAAATTTGGAAGACCTGGACACACACACACACACACACACACACACCAGCAGAGGAGAGAGTGCGAGAAACAGAGACAAGAAAAAGACAGCAAAGAGGAGAGAGTGGTCCAAGTTCTGATTCGAGGCTCGCCTCGGGTTTCCATGCATCAACCAACTCCAGGCCAGAGAAAGGGGAGGATGAGCCCAGGTCAAGCGCTGATGAGCGGTTGTACGTTCCGGCTCTTTCGTTGGATCGTGGAGGGAGACATACAACGGTACAGTGGCAGTCTAAGCACGCAAGTCAAGACAAACCCCCACACAAGATAACTGGAGACGGGCAGGATGCCTCAATTAATCAACCAACCTCAGCGCATTGGTTCGGCGCCGCTAACTATCAACACGCTCACACATATATGCACATATTCACCAGACAGCCTGACAACGCGGACAGAGGACAGAGTGAGTCGAACATCGGATGGGTGGGATAACCCATGTAGCTTATGTAGATGGATCCGTGGACGGGACCGCCACTAGGAGACCTTACCGGCGTCAACGTCCGGCCTACATCCTGCTTTTTTTTCCTTTTCATTCCCTTCACCTTAATTTCCCCATCGACCTCCGAGGCTCCAACGGTTTCCACTTCCCCTAAAACTGGTCTCTCCACGTTGGTACACTTCCACAGTGCGCCTGAGTTCAACAAACTCGAGACTAATCTACAGAAACACTCTAGCGGACGATATGCAGAGTTGTGGCAGGTTTCAGGGACGTTAGCAGCCAGCCTACAGATGGAATATCAGGGGGATAGTGCCACGGACGCAAGTACTTCGGATGAGAAATCCCTTCACTAAACTAGAGTCCATGGGTCCCAAGCTCATCCGCCACAAACGCGCTTTGGCAAAAATCCTTGTCGAGTCCGGTCATCGAGATCTTGCACCCATCAATCCTGGGGCCAAGGATGAAAGATGGTGGGCTTTCGTCAAATGGACGTCAACATTGTTTGTGAGGCACTTGTTGGTCGTTCCGAAGACTCACGAGTTGTGGATGCAGTCAATCATTTCCTCCATATCGCTTATGGTTTTCTCAGAGTCCATCCATGTCAATGCCACTTCACGCACCATCAAGGCAAAAAGCTACATCCTCACATCCTAAGAGAATGCAGCTTGGAGTACGTACCTCGAGCTGGTTGCGGCCCACATTTCAAACAGTGACATCTTCCCACTGTTTTCCTACCTCGGAGATCAACCAATTCACGTCTGGATATCTCGGCCTCACTTTTGACTTCATGCATTTGTTTGGGTCTAACACCACAACCTTGCAGGTTTGAACATCCATCATCGCATTTTTCAACCAGACAACGCTGGATCTTACTACCACTTGACTGTGTATACCCTTCTACATGTCGAGAACGTTTCCGCAATATCTACAATGCCATCTTTCTCAGAGCCAGAACCCGAACCGCAAAGTCTGCATTTCGACAAGCCGACTCCCCGCCCACCTAGGTCGCCCACCAAGACCAACGATATCAGGTCTCGCAACCGTCGTCGGGAATATCTGGAAAGAAACCCCAAGTACTTCAACAATGCCGAACATGAACTCGCAGGTTCGTCTCACTATGCTTTCTTGGAGTGTGTCATTCGGGAGTTTAACGCTCGATGCCATCACGTCAACAGCTCCCATGATGTTGCAGGATAATGTTGACAGCCTTCCCCAGACACTCTTCTTTACGATTCCCTGATTCGCAAGTTCCAGACGCCTGCTGAGCGAGAGGCCGAGGGCAAGGCCAAAGGTTACTCGGGTGTCCTAGAAAGCTCGCTACTAAGGGGCGAAGCACGTCTTGCTGATCTCAAGGCATCAACCGATCCGGAATCGACGCCTGAGTCCGCCAAAGAATTTACTACTGAAGCTCATCTATCCAAGACCGAGACCAAGGAAGAGGGGCTCGAGAGGTGGCAAGAATTCTTGACCGAACGTTTCGTTCGCGGCCATGATGAAGATTTTGATTACAGCCTGGTCGATCACAACGACGAATATGACACCATGGAGAGGCGCGATGCCGAAGAGGCGTGGTTTGACGAGGAAGATCCCAATTGGGCCAGCGACGCCGACGAGCGAGCTGGGGCCAAGCAGGGCGAAACCGGTGTCCAGGACTTTTGATCGATCATAGTAGCACTGCCAGCAAGACTCCATCTTTGTTACAGGCTTGGCGGGGTCTAATAGCCCCCTCACCATGATTAGATGTGGTCCGTCGTTGTCATCGACTTTGTAGCATGCACGGATTTCGTTAACGAGCTGGGCTGCGCTTCTGACATTTCGGCTAATCTCGACCTGCAAGATCATCCCCCGATACGATGGATGGATGCAGACAATGACAGTGGTCAAGCTTTCGTACGGTAGACGACTCCGCCAGCCCGTATCCTATATGGAGCGAGGATGGCACTGGAGCTTCTCCATATCCCATTGAACGACTATTCCCCCTCAACGCCATTCGAATTGGCCCACTGGCTATCATCCCGCAACTTGCCAACAGTGCAGCGTCAAGGTTCGTGCCACTAAAGTTGCGTGGTCGAGTGTGTGGCTCGGTACGAATTGACAGTTGGGGAGCACGCCCAGGATGGGGTAAACCGGGAAAATGCGCTGGGTAAATACAAAAGCCGCTGGCTAGTCGTCCCGCGTTCCACCCTACCAGGCCAACATCACCATATTCATCCACGCGCGCTGGTCCATTGCGGCGGTGGGGAAGTGACTTCTGGCATAAAAACCATTCCTCCCGAGCCTCCTCTGCTTCATATTAGATTCCTGTAGACATCTTGGGACTCCTTACTTGTTCTGCATGTCCTGTGGTTTCTACAAAGGCAAACGATTCTTAAAAGCCCATTTATCGGCCCCAATTTCCACCAAAACAACCCCGCACCCGTGCCCCCGCAGTCTCCCCCTCCACGCCCTCCAGGATGGCGCCCCTCATCAACCACCTTTACACGGCTGACCCTTCAGCCCACGTCTTCAACGGCAAGATCTACATCTACCCTTCCCACGACCGAGAGACCGATATCAAGTTCAACGACAATGGCGACCAGTATGACATGGCCGACTACCACGTCTTCAGCACCTCGTCGCTTGACCCTCCTGAGCCCGTCGTCGACCACGGCGTCGTCTTGAAGACTGAGGACGTCCCCTGGGTCTCGAAGCAGCTCTGGGCCCCAGACGCTGCCTTCAAGGATGGCAAATACTACCTTTACTTCCCCGCTCGCGACAAGCAGGACATCTTCCGCATCGGTGTCGCTGTCTCGGACAAGCCTGAGGGCCCCTTCACCCCGGACCCGGAACCCATCAAGGGCAGCTACAGCATCGACCCCGCCAGCTTCGTCGACGACGACGGCCAGGGATATCTCTACTTTGGCGGCCTCTGGGGCGGCCAACTCCAGTGTTATCAGAAGGGCAACGACGCCTTTGACGCCGAGTGGCTCGGCCCCAAGGAGCCCAGCGGCGAGGGCGCCTACGCCTTGGGCCCGCGCGTCGCCAAGCTTACCGACGACATGCACCAGTTCGACGGCGAGGTCCAGGAGATCCAGATCATCGACCCGGACACGAAGAAGCCTATCGCGGCTGACGACCATGACCGCCGCTTTTTTGAGGCCGCCTGGCTGCACAAGAAGGACGGCCTGTACTACTTCTCCTACTCGACCGGCGACACCCACTACATCTGCTATGCAACCAGCGACAGCCCGCTGGGTCCGTTTACCTACGGCGGACGCATCCTCGAGCCAGTATTGGGCTGGACGACGCATCACTCCATCGTCGAGTTCAAGGGTCAATGGTGGCTCTTCCACCACGACTGCGAGCTGAGCAACGGCGTGGACCACCTGCGGTCTGTCAAGGTCAAGGAGATATTCTACGACGCGGCCGGTAAGATTACAACGGAAAAGCCGCAGTGAATGTAAACTCGTAAAACAAAACAAAAATACAATGAGGACATGTTGAATTATCTAGATTACTTGGTTTTTTTTTTCCTTTCTTTTTTTGATGTATCAGTAAGATAAAGCTCTTCTGCGATATCACTCTGTGCTTTTGCAGAAACCCGGAGTTAATGACATGATTGTATCCAAACCAAACCAACAAGCCTCTGGCCCTTTTGTGTATTCTTCCCTTCTCTTCCGGTGCCAACATGTTTTCCGTACATGACCAAGGCGTGAAAAACCAACAACACATGGTTGCTTATCATACTGAGGGTGGGGGGGTATATGGTGTTAGATCGGGACCTTGCGCCCGTTGACAAAGGAAAAGTGTGTAAATAGTAGTGTGCAAGCTGTGTTTAACCCGTCTCAACAACCCCAAAGCGCAGCTTATTCAGTGCATCCTCGTACTTAGCCGGGCTATGGTCAATGAGCATACTTGTGCCAAAGCGGACCTCTCTGAACCTGGACTCAACGTCCCTCACGTATTTTAACACGATTCGCTGCGCAGGTCGTCCGATCGACTCCTCATCAGACAATAGAAACGCGTCGCGTCTCAACACCCGCTGGCTCTCAATGATGAAGACCTCGCCGGGGGGCAAGAGCTTGAGGCTCATCATGCTTGACCGCAGCGTCGTCAGCGCTGAGATGCTCCACTTGTCCTCGTCGGCGACCATCGAGCGGCTGCTGCTCGTATACCACTTCTCTGCGAGGCCGGACTGGAAAGCCTGCCATATGCGCTGTCTTACCTCGACCTTGGCCTCATGGTTGTCGCTCTTGAAGGCGAGCGCAACGGCTTGGAAATCGTGCAGAACACCCAGTGACAGGAATGGGACCAGGTCGCAACCGTGAACGACACTCGTGACGAGACCTCGGGTCGCTTTGCGGAGGGCGGGCGACATGGTGCCGGGGGGCCGTAGGCGTAGACGTGAATGGGGCGACCTGATGGAAGGCACACATGTGTCGTGGCCGTCTCCAGGAAACGTCCATCTCCAAGAAGGCGGCGATGCGGCTCGGACGTGGTGACAAACCCTGTGCCGGTGGATGATGGCTCCGCGAGCATCGTGCCCAGCAGGGCTGTTACACCGCCTCCGAGCGAATGCCCGCAAAGGACCAGTCCATAATCGCTAAACTCGTCCAAAGCTTCTTTGAGTGTATACAAAACACGACCGTCGCCGCCGTAGAGCAAGCGCCGGGCTGATGCGTGGATACCCTTGTGGACCTTGTATGACTTGCCTCTCCAGTACAGATTGTCATAGTCGCACGCCATGTCGGCCAAGACATCCTCGAAGCCTAGTGTTCCACGGCATGCAAGTACGACAGCTTTGGATTCGTGGTCCAGGGAGATGTAATGGACCAAGGGAACACCGGTCCCCGTAGAGCCAGTCGTGTCCGATCCTCCTTGAGCGTCAACGAATGAGGCGAGGAGGATACTTTCAGCCTCGGATTCTGTGTGGTGGGCAAAGGATCGGATTTCATGATGCGTGTCGTCTAGTGCCCTAAGCAGGGGCATCTCTTTTGAAATGCCCATGAACTTGAGAAAGTTGGAACCGTAGGAAGCCGAAGAAAACCTCATGTAACGGGTGATGTTACGAAGCAAGTGGAAGGCTGGGAAGACACCATCTACTGTGCCCGCCCGTCTCAAGGTATCGATGGCTTCAGAATCTGTGTATGCACTCTTCTGATAGTACGAAGACAATACCAGCGACGTTTGAGAGCCCGTATTCGCGATACTGTAGAGACTTGGCGTGTTGACGTGTGAGCGTGCTCTGCGAGATTTCATTGGTGATGACGGCTTCTGGTCGTTAATGTCCTTTTCTGAACGCGACTTTGGGATACCGGACTGGCCCATGCCGTCTCGGCGACCGAATCCCGGCGACTGTGGCCGAAGCCCGTCAACAGCGTGGAAGGAGTAAGTATCGGTCTGCGACACAATCGAGTCTCGCCGGCGCTCATGGACCGAGATGTAACTAGCTCGCGATGAGCTGCGAGGTACTGGCGAAGGGTTCTCGTAATTGCGGCCTCGGGAGCTGGAAGCAGCAGTCGGTCCCATGGCCCGGGTCTGGGAAGGACGGTTGGACTGAGCAGGAGTACGTGTAGTCCTATCCGCGGGTGCAGATCGGGGTATCTGCTTGGCTTTCCCAGTGGATTGCGAGCTCGTAGTGCCCGTTCCGTCTCGGTGGAATAGGTTAGAGATATTCGAGCTGGTGCCCCTCTTCAAGGCTTGTCTGATACCGCCTTTCTTCTCGGCGGATTTTTCTGAGGCCTTGCTTGTTGACAAAGGCTCGCCTTTAGTTCTCTTGGCCTTGGTGGTCTCAGGATGCGATGGTACAGCGTTCTCATGCCGTGCTCTCACTGGTAAAGGGGCGAGTGGAGCTCGCTGTCGCTTTTGATTTGGCGCGTTTTCCGGGTTCTGCTTGGGCGTTGGGATTTGGGAAGCTCTGCTGTTGGGGGAAGTTGACGGGAGCCTAGGGCCAAGCTTTGTCCGACGAGGAGTTGAAATGGAACTTGCCTCTGCCCTCGAGGAGCTGGTCAGACCGGCTGGCAGCGCAGTTTTAGGAGGAACAGGTGGCGGGTCGTCACTATCGCCGTCTTGGCCTTGGCCATCAGACTCTTCGGTATCGTCTAGGGATTCCACTTTTCCAGACATCTCTTCCGGCTCCTCATAACCCCGAAATGTCGTGCTCCGCTGTTTGCTCTTGTCCACCCTATAGACAACCCGGTATGTCGGAACATCAGCAAGCGCCTGTTGTCGTGTGGTTTGCTCCTTTTGATACTCTGCCGATGGTAGGACTTCTCGTTCAACGACCTCCACGCCAGGAGGCGGTGTTAGCGTTGGTGGCTCGGGGCCAGTAAAGTCCACGGTGATCATCTTTCTCGTCAAGGTAGTTGTTGATATAGAAACGCTTGTATCCGAGGGCAGAGAGCGCATGATCTGGTTCTTCAGACGGATCTCGGGCAAATCGTCTTCGTCCTCGTCTTCGCTGGTTTCTCGTTCTCCGTGGCGTTCGATGGTAGCCAGAATACTAGGACTAGGTTGGTCGCCTGGGATTGATACCAATATATCGGGGCCCTTGCTCTTGTAGCGGCCCTTGTGCACTCCGTAAAGACTGTTCTCGTGGACGTCGACTCGTTCGCCATCGTTGAGAACAACAACATCCCAGACGATTTCGTCATGACCCAACCGCCTGCTCTCCTCGTCAAGAAAGCGTCGACACTTGCGTTGTAAGTACGCCAGGGCGCACAAGCCCATAACGAGGTCAACGACACCCACACGTTCGCCCTCTACCCCGGTTGCAGGGTTCTGGAATTCGCGACGGATGAGAGTAATGATACTCGCAATAGCGCGTGATGAGTCGGTAGAGCCGAAGAACTGGTCGAGAGACGAGAGAAGTAGCTGCGATACCTCTGACACAACCGAAAAGGTGGTACTAGTCATCTGAAAGCCAGTTGTAGTCCAGAATACGATCTGTGACATGGCGTGATGAAGATGCTCCAAGCTTCTCTCCAGGACGGTTTCGGCATCCTCCCTTCCCAAGTCACTATTGGAGCGCACGAGCATGTCCCTGCCAGACCTACTGAGGATTCCCTCAAGAATACCCCTGCCCAGCTCGAGGCTTGAGAGAGTGGTGAACTTGGCGGCATCGAAGCCATAAGAGCTGATGAGAGTACCGACGCGGATGGCCAAGCATGTTGAGCGGGTGGCGAGACTGACAGCCTTTGCAATGGGAGTTGGAAGTATGGTCCGTCCCTGGTGAGACTCGAGAGGGATGTGGATCAAGCTGTTGGGCTCGTCGGCGTCCCAATCATCATCTGAATCCATGGTGTCCATCTGTACCGGCACGGTTGCCAGTGCCAATGCCAATGCGGGTGCGGACGTAGGTGCTCGCATATGGAGAGGAGGCACGGGGCATCGAGGACAGACGAACAGGGGGTGAGATAGAGTCCCGGATATCAAGCTCGTTGTGGTGCCGAAGGAGTGAATGCCATATTATATCGGAGATCTTACCAAGCAAGACTTGGGCACGCGATGGATGACGAGCATGGAGTGAGGGAGATGAGCAAACGGAAGAGAAGGGAACGAAAGCAACCAACGAGGCGCTTTAGGGGCCGAGAAAGGTGCCAGGCTGGAGAGCAGACGATGGATAGGAGGAGGAGAGGGCGAGAGGAAGTAATAGAAGGAGCAGTGGTCGAGATTAGATGAAGTGATGAAGAAAGGGGGGGCAAAGACCGGCCGCCGGTGGTGGCAACATTCAGGCACGTTCGGCCGGAGGAGGAGCAGAGCAGCGCAGAGGCGTGTAGATTGGCCGGAATAGTGTAGCGGCAGCTCTGTAAAGAATGATGGGGTTGACGGGTGCTCTTGAGGTAATCAAAGACAAGGACCCGTCCTATTTGTCTCGGGGTATATGGTGTTTGCCGACCTGGGCTTTGAAGACGCTATGTTATGTTATCTCGTGTTGTGTTGCGCTGTATGTAGTAGTAGTTGGTAACAGGGGCGGAGACGGAGGGCGAGCGAGAGGCGAAGAAAAAAAAAAAAGCATGGCGTACTCGTACCGCAGCGCGTCGAAGATAAATTCAGTTGGGGTATTCTAGGCTCAGAGTTGCGGTAGCTGGGTTGACGTGTTGAGCCGCCGCCGCGCCAGGGCTCCAATAGGAGTAAGTGGGACGTTGGGCGTGGCAGCATGTGATTGCATTTTGTGGGGGATGTTCATGCGCGACACGGCGGACGGCGACGGCGCAGGCCCCATGCCATGCTATGCCATCCCGTCTCATCCTGGTGTTCGTAGTGGTTGTCTCTTGGGCACTGGGGAGATACTTTGGGGTAAGAAGACATCTTCTCCCCAGTGCTTGTGGATGGAGGGAGGGAGGGAGGGGCAAGGTTCGCAGTAGAACATCAGGTTCCCTCGTGTGCTAAGACTTAGTATGACGCTACGCAGTAGTGTGTGGGATGGAGGATGCGGCGGGATGGGATGATGGAGATGGATTTTGCCCACCTGCAGAGAGTCAAGCCACTGGACCGGACTAGCAACTAGTGCTAAGGCAGCTACGGCGTCGGTAGCGTTGGGGGTCCTTATTGTCAGTTGATGCGAGTCCGTTTGTGCCTCGACCTATGCATTAGATATTACTATTTTTCTCTGCCTCTCTCTCTCTCTCTCTCTCTCTCTCGCTCTCGCTCCCCCCTCCCTCTATTTTAGTCACTGGCCTAAATGCGCCGCACAGTTCTATGGCGGACGGGGTCGGGGGGTTTGCTAACGACAACCGTTGAAGAAAGGCCTCGTGTCTTTGTTCTGAGGGCTGGAAATAGTGGTGTGGTGGGCCTTTTGTCCAGGTCGCCTTCAACACGGCTCCCGTACGTTCCTAAGCAGCTGGAAAATGTTGATACATTCACCAAAGAGAAAACAGGGCACGGCAATGGCAAAAGTAAAAGGGCTGCAACCGCAAGCTGAGATTCGTTTATCCGCGAGTGCAAGTGCATGTCTCCTTAGCGAGACCAGGCCGACTGTCGACAGCCACTCGATAAGGAGACGAGCAGGGGTGTGGGGCGTTTGTCGGTCCTCATCACCAGAGTCGCTGTGGCTTGGGGGAGGGCCTGGCTATTTGGTCTGTTTTAGGGGGCATCGCGCACTAGAACACAAGCTGAAACCACGGCATTCCAAGCAAGAGGAGAGACGAGCTTAGTGTAGTCGCGATTGCCTCCCGCCTCAATCATCCATCCGTCATGGTGCTTTTCTGCCTCCCTGCCTTCCTTCCTCCTGCCTTATCGTCCGCACGGATATTTGCCACCCCTTTCTCCCACTTCTATTTCCAGAAGCCATTCCAGATGGCATGCAAACATGTTCATCTCCATGTTTTGTTTCCTAACAAGAGCATCCTTATCAAACCTTACTCTCATCCTATCATCCGTGCGGCCTCTCCTAAAGTCAAGCAGATCATTTACAGAAACCCGTCGAACGATGCCACAGACCCAAGACAAAAAACCAACCTAGCATTCCTCCGTCTGTCGCAATCTTCATGTGCTTTCTCGGGGTCTGCTCCAGAAGGCGAGCTCGTGACCGCACCCACCCACGCGCACACGCACACACACTTACACAGCTCACACCCATACCAAGCTCACAGCGCAAGGGATCGGTGATCGAGATTCAGCCGCCACCTACAGCGCAGCGCGCTGTGCAGTTAGAGCCAACGACTGCAATTTCTCACTCTGCTTTGCGTCTGCTGGGGTTGGATGGCTTCCACGTTCTACGTCGGCTTCTTTTGTCCTTGGCAATGGCCTCCAAATAATCCGATGGAAAACAAATGAGGATGGTATCCATCTGTCGACCTAGCCAGTCAGCCAAATGCCACTTGGCCTGCTGGCCCTGAAGAGCCGCATGGGGTACTACAGCTTTAGCTTCACCTCGTACCTCGGTCATTCCTGATCGTCGAGACGGATGACTCGACGATCGACAGGCCCGCGGGCGGGAAGCCACCGCGCCTGACGAGTCGGATCATACACAAATGGGAGAAGCAAGGCAACATGCAAGGGCCTTTTATTCTTCGCTTTGTGCATCTTTCAAGGGATTGCATTCAAGTGCCCAAGGTTTTGTCTCAAGAGACCTGCTCGTAGGTGAGCCAATACTGGGTGTTGGAGTTGACAAAGATATTATCAGAGCCGCGCTCTACGGTGGTGTATTTGATGCTCTGCATCCGCTTACGCTAGCTGCCGAGCACTTTTCTCATCGTCCCCATTCTTCGATTTACGTTTCTTCGGTCACATTTACCGCGGTATTGGTCTGCCGTGCTATGAATAGCCATAGGCAACCAGGGTCGTGAGATCATTCCTTGTGGATGGATACGGGCCTTGGAACCCCCCGCCAGCTTAGTGACGGTTCTGCTCCAAGTACCAATGAGGTGTCATGTTCCAATGGCATGCAGAGGCTGAGCAGTAAAGCTCCCCCTCCCATCCCCCACCGTCCATGTCCTGTTCCTGACATGGGGAGCTGCTGCCCTGTTGTGCTGTGGTATTATGTAGCTACTGCCGTACAGCGTGGGTGAGCATTGCCACCTTCCCTCAGGCCGCGTTGCCAAATGTCAGACTGTCATATGCTGGCCGATTTCAGAGCATCCGCAACCCTGAAGCTTACGGGCGTTCTCATTGACTTTGACGAGAGATGGGGGCCATCCAATTGTCCTGGATGACTGGAGGGGCTGAGGGTGGGCAACAAATGCACCTCAGCAGGCACAAGGGTCGTATTGGCCCCTGCGGAACCCCTCCAGGCCCCCCTGAGATTGCCTTGCGATGGAGATGGATCTGTGGATGGTATTGTTGTTCGCGCTGTATTTACTTACGTCGTCGTCCAGTCCGACATGACGGATAAGGAACTGGTGCAACTCTGCTGCAAACATCGCGCCTCGACAACCACCTTTTCGACTCCTCGCCTCGCTGTCTCTCTTTTCTCAACCACTCCCCCCTCTTTCTTCTTCACCGCTTCGTTGTCTTGCTTCCTAACCCAACGCCTCCAACCAAAGCCTCCAAATTCATCCCCAACGAAAGCTTCACCGATCGATTGAGCCCAGCGTAGCTCCCAATCGCCCATAACCTTGCATAGCGCGAGGTCGATTCGTCCCCTTTCCTGTCGTTGAAGCCATCTCGATCGTTCCCTCGGCACGAGAAGTCCCTCTGTTAGATACCCCAGAAAGCACACCGCCCGCAGATACAACCGGCAACAATGACTGAAAAGGGTCTCTTTTCCGATGACCTTGTGTCTCCCACGGTCGCCTCTGCCCTCCCCGAGGGCTACGTCGTTCGTGCCCTTCGCCAGTCCGACTATACTGGTTTCCTAGACTGCCTTCGTGTCCTGACCACCGTCGGTGAGATCAGCGAGCCGCAATTCGCAGAACGATACAATTGGTTGTCCAAGAGCGACGGATACTACATCCTTGTCATTGAGGACACGAGCAGGAAAACCGTCGTCGGAACTGGTGCTTTGATTGTCGAGCGCAAGTTGTGAGTTGCAATTGGGAAGGCGATAACAATGCCCAGCCGCCTCATTCTTATGGAAGTCACGCTGACCCGTCGTCTTTCGCGCAGTATTCACAACCTCGGTCTCGTCGGCCACATTGAGGACATCGCCGTCGCAAAGGACCAGCAGGGCAAGAAGCTCGGTTTGCGCATTATCCAGGCCCTCGACTTCATCGCCGAAAAGGTTGGCTGCTACAAGAGCATCCTGGACTGCAGCGAAGCCAACGAGGGCTTCTACGTCAAGTGCGGTTTCAGGCGAGCCGGCCTGGAGATGGCTCACTACTACGAGGGAGACAAGAGTAAGGCCCAGTAGCCTACTGCTTTTCTCTCATACTCCCACCAAGCCTGTCATCTCGTCTCGTGTCGCATCGCCGCGTCCCGGTTCGGGTTCGACATCGTTCGGGTTTGTACCGGTACTAGACAGACTCGGATTACATCAGTGAACTACTGATGTTAGGTACCTGCAGGGCGGAAGCTCTAGATCGAGATCCTAGATCAGACGAGCGCCGAGCTCGCTTCCGAGGAAGCAAGAAGAACGGATAAAACGAATAATAGAAACACATCAACCCACCCACCTGCAACATCTGTCTTACCAGACTTACCTACCTACATTTCTCCACTTCGGCCTCTTCGAAGGGCCTGTTTGGTCAACATCGAAACATGGCAGCCCGGACAGTCCGGGCCTATCCCAATCCCGATCCCGTCTTTCGCACATTCGTCTATACACTATGCACCTCGGTCGTTCACGTAGTTTGTGTCACTTGCTTGATGTTTCATTGTCTGGCCAGCTACTCAGGGCCCAGCTGCGACGAGTGGTTGCACTATACGGGCCAATCGTTGTCTGACCACAGTCAGATCACTGCTGACTGTTGTCCGCATCCGAGTGGCTGGCACCCGTGACATTTTAGACCCTTCTCGGGGCGCCACCAAGGAGAGGCCTGTTCCCTTTCCCGAGAAACTTACGGCGTGGAAAGGATTTAGCCGTCTTGTCCGTCGCAGCCTGTCGGAGCGTCCAATATTGAATCGCGTATTGTCGAGAAGCGCTCTCCCCGCGTTTCACATGCTATGAATCGGATCACTTCCTTCGAACGCCTATTTCATTTTACCTTCACCAAGCATGGTACCTTACAGAGCAGGGCGCACTCCGGTTTTGCTTCCTTCTGCTATTTTTGCAACGTCATGCTGTGTCTAGAATCCAGTGACATCGCCATTAGATGGCAAACAAAGGATAGGAAATCGCAGAACCGGATCCGGATGACCACCAGAGCTGACAGGCCAGGCCCTTCCTCCGTAATCATTGCAAAGCTGCACAGCCGTAGGCCCGCCTCGACCTTCGCCATTTTTTTTTTTCGGAGCCCCCCCCCTTGACCAATCTACCATGTTACAACGTAAGGCGAGCAGTTTGGGCAAAGGGTCAGAGTCAGGACTTGGGCGCCTCACACGGATATTCACATGCATGGCCAAAGCGTAGCTCGTCGCAAATGACTGACTGGACTTGATCATGGCGCTGTCGTATAAGATGGCTGATCTCCACGTTTACCCCCTTTTCCAGTCTACATTGCTCTGCAGTTGCATCGCGTCTCACGATCGGACAACGGATATCCCCAACTACAAGTGTCCGAGAAAGCCACCGCCAAACTATATCAAGTCCTGCAAGTCCACCCCTTGAACCTCCGAGCGCGCGTCGTCATTGGGTATCAGAATTGGCGTCTGCAGATCGAAACGTCCCTTTCATATAAATTAGCTCTGGCGTCGTTTAGTTTCTATTTTCCATCATGATCGAGGACCTGCATTCTGCCATCGTTCGCGTGCGAATTGCTTCCCTTCAGTCAGAGTAAGTCTTAGCTCTTGAACCTCAACGCCACTGCCACTGTAACACTTAGTCGGACAAACTCCGACAAGCATATCGTCCTGCATTTCCATGGTGATATTGGGTCATTGGACAATGACATGCTGACCTGGTCACTCTCAGAGTTCTCAGCAAGTCGCCCACTAGAGAAGTTGTGCGTCGTCGGAGCTTCAGTAAGGTGAAGCCAGTTCACGTTGCCAAGGGCCGATTACCACTGTTCACGAAGCAGAAAACCGTCCGCGTCATTTCCTGACCGACTCCGTGATGTCGCCGCACAAGCTCCCCGAGCAGGATGGCAAGCGGCAGTGGGTGATGGGCACCGAGGCCTTCGAGAGGACCATGCCCCATCACCAGGGCATCAAGGCTCTCTGGGAGACCAAGTGGAAGTTTCCTGTGGGTGTTCCCTTTCAATACGAAGCCCGGTAACCTGCACTTGCTGACTTGGCCCTGCATCAGTGCACCAAGAGTGTATACCCTTTTCACGACGGACAGTACGAGGACTTCGAGCCCATTTTTGAGCATCTGATTAAGGTAAGCGAGACTCCGTCGATTGCTAATGAAGGGCCTAACAATGTACCAGTACAACGTCAACGACGGAACCTCTACTGCTTACACTGAGGCCTTCTTTCCCATTGCCGAGTCTCTTACTACCAAAGGCGACCAAGCTGCCTCTGCAGGTAACAAGAAGGAGGCGAGCGATTTGTACCTGCGAGCCTGTACCGTCTACCGCATCGCCCGGTTCCCCTACATCACGGCTTACCCCGAGGTCAGCTGTCCGGTCAAATGGAAGGCGTGGGAGGCCCAAAAGGAGGTCTACCTGAAGGCAGCTCAGTGCTGGGACTGCCCCATCAACGACATTGACATCCCGCACGCCCACGCCAAGGGAGGAGACAGGAAGTCTATCCCTGCCTACGTCAGAGTTCCCCACGGGGCATCTAAGAGCAACCCCAGCCCGGTCGTCATCCTGATGACCGGCCTTGATGGGTACCGCCCTGACAACACTGTTCGCTCTGACGAGTTCCTGGCGCGCGGTTGGGGAAGCGTCATCGTCGAGATCCCCGGCACCGCCGACTGCCCCGCGGACTCAGCCGACCCGGAGAGCCCCGACCGATTGTGGAGCAGCGTCCTCGACTGGATCGCCGCCGACGGCCGATTCAACCCGGACCGGGTCCTGGTTTGGGGTCTCAGCTCGGGCGGGTATTACGCCATCCGCATTGCGCACACGCACAAGGACAGATTGATTGGATCGATTGCCCAGGGAGCCGGGTGCCACTACTTCTTCGACCCCGAGTGGCTCGAGAAGGCTGACGGGCATGAATACCCGTTCCTGTAAGATGAGCCTGGCTGGTTTATATCTTGGATTTGTGCTGACTGACACGCGCTAGGTTGACACCCGCCATGGCCATGAAGCATGGCTACAAGACCGTGGAAGAATACAAGGCTGGTGTACAAAAGAAATTTTCTTTGCTCGAGACGGGCATCATCGAAAAGCCTTCGACGCGGCTGTTGCTGATTAACGTGAGTTCAAGTAACTGTTCTCCATGACTGTAAACAACTGACTGTCTTCAGGGTACTCTGGATGGATTGATGCCCATTGAGGATTCGATGATGTTGTTCGAATACGGCACGCCAAAGGAGGCCAGGTTCTTTTCGGGAGCGTTGCATATGGGATACCCTATGGCGAATGCATCGGTCTACCCTTGGATGGAGAGCGTCATGGCGAGCAAGATTTGAGCCCGCCTCGTGTGACATTAATAGCAATGGAAAGAAACACAATATCTTGGACTTGGACTGCAATCATGAGCGAAATGTGAGAGGGGGAGATGGTACTGATCAAAACAGCTTGTCTTTTCCTCTTTATGTTTTGTTTTGTCTTGTTTTGTGACATGTTTTCCTCTTGATAGCAGTTCTGTGATGCTATTTACCGACCCATCCACCCACCGTCAACAACCAGGACGTGCCCGCTCACATAACCACTCGCTTTGCTCGCCAGGTACACCGAAGTGCCCTTGAAGTCTTCGGGGGTGCCCCAGCGGCCGGCGGGGATGCGGGCGCTGATGCTCGCAAGACGCTCCTTATCGTTGAGTAGCGCCGTGTTCATCTCCGTCTCGATATAACCGGGCGCAATGGCGTTGACGGTGATGCCCTTGGAGGTCCACTCGTTGGCGAAGCTCTTGGTCAGCTGGCCGACAGCACCCTTGGAGGCGGCATAGGCCGGCACTGTGAAGCCGCCCTGGAAGGTCAGCAGGGAGGCGTAGTTGATGATGCTGCCCTTGCGGCCGGTGACGGGGTGCGGGTCGAGGTTGAGCATGTGCGCGCCGACGTCGCGGGTGAGGGTGAAGACGGAGTTGAGGTTGACCTGGATGACCTTTGGAGGGTTGTGTTAGCATTGTCGACTCGAGTTCCTCGGGTTCTAAAGTTGCGTCGCAAGCTCACAGCATTGAAGTCGTCGTCGGGGAACTTCTCGCATGGGTGTCGCTTCTGAATTCCGGCGCAGTTGACGAGGATGCGAATCTGGTGGCCGTCCTTGAGGACCTTGGGCACAAGGGCGGCAACGCTCTCCTGAGAGCTGAGGTCGGCCGTGTAGATTTGGGCTTTGCGGCCGAGCTTCTCGACCGCCTCCTTGGTCGAGGTGCTCGACTCGTCGCGCTGTACGAGGAGGATATCGGCGCCGGCCTCGGCAAGGCCCACTGCCACGGCGGCGCCAATTCCACGTGTGCCGCCGGTGATGAGGGCGGTCTGGCCCTCGAGGGAGAAGAACTGTGAGGACATCGTGATGTAGGGGGGTTATCTATGGGAGTGAATCACAAGGCACAGTGGAGGGACGGATGGGTGAGAAGGAAGAAAGTCTGCGGCAATGGGGTATATGAGTAGAGAAAACCTAGTTCGCGCAAATCAAGTCTGGTGGGAAACGTTTGAGACGAGTGCGATTTTATTGGACGAGCCTTGAGTAGCAACAAGGTGAAGCAGAGAGACGAAGGGAGAGAGACAGCTTCATCGAGCTCATGAATGTACTTCCACCTCCCTCCAAGCGACGGTGAGCTATTCTTGGTTTGCCGAGCCAGTCCCGACTGCAGCAAGTCCGTCTCCCCAAGCTAATGGGTTCGTTTGGACATTCGCATTGAGGTTGCGGGCTAGATCCATACCTGCTTCATCTCACGAGACTGGGAGGAAACACAGTCAACAGGCCAGACGCAACGTACAACACAGCAGCATAATGGTACTCGCGCCGGGGTTGACCACACGGGGCAATTCGTGGCGGGAGACTCACTACTACGTAGGCATTCAAAGCTGGAGAGAGGGGTGCGGGGCAACAAGGTATTCTTTACCTGGTGTATTGGATACTTTCCTCCCACCTACCGTTTTACCCCTCAGTTGCAGGGATCCAGGACATCTCCAACCACACTCTGACGTCGCTTCGCTTCGCTCCTGAACGGTCACCCAGTTGCTTGCCTAGGCTTCAGCCAACTCCTAGACGATGCGCATAAGGAACGAACACTTGCGATTGAGTTGTTGATATAACAGCGAGAATCCGGCCTGTATGGTTAGGTTTTGTGCCGTCCAGGAATGATCCAAGGGGACAAAGGCAGAAGACCACGTCTACCTGGCTCTGCCCAGCACCTGCCCCCCACGTAAGGATTATTTGGAGACGGCAAGGTGGGATTGGCTGGGCTTCTCCCCGCATATCGGGGCTCGAAAAATGTACAGACAGTTACGACGAAGAAAGATTTGAACATGCAGCATTTCGGCCATGATCCGTTGCGGGCTCGCATCCTCTCGTAATGCGGCGAGAACCTCGAGCTTTCCAGCTTGCAAGGGCCTGGCAGGACTCATGACATAAGATACCGGACGTCCTACGAACCACCGATGCACCGGTTGGCGATTGTTGTTGAATTGCTTGATCCGGGGCTGTCGTTGCATGGCAGAGCATTGAGCTACGATCGCCCGTACCCCGCCATGCTCACGGTTCTCGCCTTAGGAAAGAATTGCCGTCCTTGGTTTCCGCGGCCGTTTTAACCATCAGCGGTACCTTGACTTTCGGCGGACATTGCCCGGATTGGATGGGGGTCAGATCCAGTGACCCGCGGGTCGTTCAGTCTTCCATTGGGGACTGGCTGGTCTCTTTTCCATCACACACTGAGTAGCCCTTCCCCCTCATCCCTCCACATTGGTGACAGAGACACCCACGAACCCACGGGTGCTCCTCGCAGCCTGTTGCTCGTCTCGCTGTCGTCGTGCTTGCCGGACAGAATGCCGAATACTGCCTCAGCAGGGAGACCTGCTTTTCTCTCTCCAAGTTGACTGGTGCCTCATCCCGGTTTCCACATCTCCACAACTCCACACGAACCGGGCCCAACTCTACTTTCACAAGTGTGAGCTTGGTGCTGGAGGTACTTGGTACCACTGGCGCGTTCTTCGTCTGAAGCCCGTGGATGCTTTCAGCTTTATGGTGCAATGCCTGCCATCGGTTACTGCCTGCTTTTTTGCTAGACACTGACGGGCATCTTTGAGGTGCTTATACCCGAGTTGAGCTGAGAATCCGCCTTCCGCTCCCCCACCGACCATTGAGTAGGCTTCCCAACCCAGCCATCCCTCCACCATCGTCAACCCGCATTTCCGCTTTGCACCACACGCTCCCCCGATTCGCGTCCGGGTTCTGGTGCTTGCTGTCTGGTCCTGGTCCTCGCGTTTTCCGACCCGTGGATATCGGACCCGTACGTAGCCATGCACCCTTAGCTCTCTGTCTCCAAGTGCTTGTACCTCACTCTCGGCTTTTGACCAAGGGGGGAGAACAAAAATAAGAATAAAAAAAAAGATACTCTTAACTGGTCAAGCTGCCCACTTCTCGCGTTTCCCATCATCACCAGACCTCTCTCACACTTACACACACCTTACACGACGACATCGCAGCCTCTCTTGGCTCTATTGAATTGCCTCTGCATCGTGTTCAACCCCTTGAATCACTCTCCCAATCCACAATCGCATACGAGCGCAGCCACCATGTCAAGCGTTCAAGTTCAGACTTCCGTCCTTCACGGCGCGAAGGACCTCAAGATCGTTAGCCGACTCTTCCCATACACTCGCAGTTCTCTTCAAGTATCTAATTGGCGCAGGAACAAAGAGAACTCCCAGCACTCGCGCCGGGCGAGGTCCAGGTTGCCGTCAAGGCCACGGGGCTCTGTGGCTCCGACCTGCACTACTTCAACCACTTTCGCAACGGCGACATCCTCGTGCGGGAGCCGCTCACCCTTGGCCACGAGTCCAGCGGCGTCGTCACCGCCGTTGCCCCGGACGTTTCCAATCTCGCCGTGGGCGACCACGTCGCGCTCGAAGTCGGCCAGCCGTGCGAGGCCTGCGAGCTCTGCGTCTCGGGGCGGTATAACATTTGTAAAGAGATGAAGTTCCGCAGCTCCGCAAAGGCGTTTCCCCATGCCCAGGGAACTCTTCAAGAGCTGGTCAACCACCCGGCCAAGTGGTGTCACAAGTAAGGCGCCAAAAATCGACCCCGCAGACAATGAAGGCGCACGTATACTGACGGCTACACCCAAAGGCTCCCGGAATCCGTTTCGCTCGAGTTCGGCGCCCTCGCCGAGCCCCTCTCCGTTGCCATGCATGCCCGCGACCGCGCGAGGCTTCCCAGCGGCTCGACCGTGCTCGTCTTCGGCGCCGGCGCCGTGGGCCTGCTGTGCGCCGCCGTCAGCAAGGCTGACCAGCAGCGCGTAGTCATCGCCGATATCCAGGCAGACCGCGTGCAGTTCGCCATCGACAACGGCTTCGCCGACGCCGGCGTCGTCGTGCCGGCGCTGCGCCCGCAGACGATCGAGGACAAGCTGGCCTACGCCAAGGACGTCGCCGAGCTGGTCAAGCAGGCCAAGATTGGCGGCGAGGAGGTAGGCGAGGTGAATGCGACGTACGAGTGTACTGGCGTGGAGACTTGTATGCAGACGGCCATCTTTGTAAGTCACAACCCTGGAGACCCTGAACATACGTCGTACTGACCGGAAATCAGTCCACTCGCCCGGGAGGAAAGATCCTCATCATCGGCATGGGTACGCCGATCCAGACGCTCCCCATCTCGGCCGCGGCGCTGCGCGAGGTCGACTTCATCGGCGTCTTCCGCTACGCAAACACATACCCTAAGGCCATCGACCTGATTGCGACCAAGCCCAAGGGCCTGCCGGCGCTGGAGAAGTTGTTCACGCACCGTTTCAAGGGGCTGAGCACAATCAAGGACGCCTTTGACATGGCGGCTAAGGTGAAGGACGAAAGTGGGAACTTGGTGTTGAAGGTTCTTGTAGACACGTCAAATTAGAAGGGGAACGGGAGAAAAGAAAGACAAAAAGAAGAAAAAAACACAAATTTAGAATATGTGGAGTTATTGTTTGCCCATTCGAGATGGTACACTTTTTGCCATGGGGGCTGGTGGTGGTGGTAATGGTGATTTCCAAGATTTGTAGGATTGTCTGATTTGGATGACTTACACCCCAACGCGTCCGCTACCAAAGGGTTCGTCGCGTTTCAATCGTGTTTTGCAGAACGATCTCACTTTTGGTATTAAGAGAACACAAGTGCGCTCTAAATCATTTCTATTCATTTTCTCTATGTAGTGACATAAACTTCATAAATTCAAGACTTGTCCGGGAAGCCAAAGTCGATGCCGAACGGCGGGTAGACGTAGCGCTTGAGCTCCTTCTTGGCGGTCAGATCATCCGAGTAGGCACGGAGCTCCTTGAGGTCCTCGTCATCAAGCTTGACTATCTCCAGGTTGGCCTTGATGCGGGCCGGTGTGACAGACTTTGCGATGACGGTGCTGCCGCGGGCGACGTGGTAGCTCAGTAGGACGGTAGAGGGGGTGACGCCGCGCTTCTCAGCGATCTTGACCACGGGGTCGGCGGTCAGGAGGGGGCCACCGGTCGAGCCGAGGGGGCTGTACGCCATGATGTGGATGCCCTTGTCTTTGCAGTAATCGACAATCTCCTGCTGGGGCAGGCTGGGGTGGTTCTCGATCTGGTTGACAGCGGGGACTACCTTGGCTTGGGGAAGAAGCTGCTCGAGGTATTTCACGCTGTAGTTGCAGACACCGATGGAACGAACCTTGCCCGTATCGAGGAGCTTCTCGACTGACTTCCAGGTGTCGACATGGGAGTGGCTGAGGACGATGTCGCGGGAGCCGTCGGGCTTAGTGGGGAATCTGTCATGGTTTCCATTGGGGTTCATAGCGACAGGCCAGTGCTGTTTGTTTGTGAGTTTCTCTTCGGGCCATAGCTATCATACCCGTCGGCGGTCGAGGGGGAGGGAACGTACGACAAGAAACAGGTCAACGTAGTCGAGACCCAGGCTCTTCAAGCTCTTCTCCAAGCCCTCCTTGACCTTGTCATCGCCAATGGTGTAAGTGGCCCACAGCTTGGTGACGACGAAGATGTCTTCGCGCTTGACGCCGTCGGCAAAGGCCTGCTTGAGACCCTCGCCAACCTCGTCCTCGTTGGCGTAGCAGTAGGCGCCGTCAATGGCCTTGTAGCCGATCTTGAGGGCATAGGAGACGGCATCCTTGACCTCACCGGGGGCGGATTGCCATGTGCCTGTGAAACACCTGGGTCAGTGAGGTCTCTTCGTCAAGTGAGGAGTAAGAGAAGCTTACCGAGAGCAACGGCGGGAATCTCGTATCCCGAGTTCAACTTGAAAGTCTGAGACGCCATCTTGAGATGTCTAGAGTGTGTCGTGACTTGTCGAGGGTATCGTCGCGAAATTTCTCGGAACCGAAGGTGGGGGCGGGGTAATTCTATGCGAGAGTGCCTCCTGGAGAGTAGAAGAAGCATACAGCTCAGGAACGAAAAGCCAATGGGTGAGAGAACAAAAGGAAACGTCGCTCGGGGTAAGATGCGAAGGGGGTGTGAGATCTCGGTATATATACTAACGACAAAAAAAGAGCAATCGGAATAGGCTATCAGGGTTTATGTGTCGCGATCAAGGGCCGGGTAAATGCTCGACGATTGTCGCGAATCCACGCCAGCCTGCTCTTCCCTCACTCCCTCTCTTTCCTGGCCTGACTTCTGCACCCCTCCCACCCCTCCTCCATGTCTTTCAGATAGTATTAGGCCAACCGTGATGTACCCATCATCTGCTAGTCTTAGTAACCGTACTCCATGGTAGTTAAGTTGTGCTCGGCCTCAGCTTCCCTCCCATGCTTGCCTGCCAGGCTGTCCCTCCTTCGTGTGGATTTCCCCAGTTTGTCATTTTAACGCAGTGAAATGGCGGAGCATACGGAGAAAAAGAGGGTACGCCCCCTCCCCCTCGGTGGGACGGACTGTTTGTGTGTTCCATTCATGGATAATTTCTCTGATTATCGGAGCAGCTCTCGGGCACTGTTGGGCCGAGTCATGGGAGAGAGGGGGCCCTCGAGTTGCAAAAAAGTCGAGAGCATCTCGACCAGAGGCTGGGCGATGTTCTAGTACGGGCAAAGTCCCCGGCACCAAGCCCGAGGTCCTCCTGAGGCTGGTCCCCGGCGCTTGGCCTCTCTGCGCATGTACCATGTACCTCCTGCGAAGTGACATTTACCCCCACCACCACCACCCACACTTGGCCCCAAACGCCCCGAAATCACACGCAAGTTGCGACACTTCAGCGGGACCAGAGCTAGAGCTTCGCCGAAGTTAACCTCTTTGGTGATTAATAGATATAAGTGTATGCAAGGAAGAAGCTCTATCGCTGTACCGCGCCCGCGTCCCAGCGTCAATGTCATAGTACAGTTGAACGGTACTAGTATTACACAAATCAACGCCCGTCTCCGTCTTGATCTCGACTCCCCGAACCGCCGCCCATCATACTCGTGGTTTTGGCCACGCCAATTTTCGCCTCAGTCTTAACCTGCAATGAGGACCCAAAGCCTGCGCAACTAGTCAGTGACTGGCTCCTTAATGTTGGATCGAGGCTAGCGGGCAACTTACAGAAAGAAGATCATGAGTACACCGAACATTTTCTGCCCAGATTGTCAGTAAATCTGGACCACTAACCGAGTCACCGCCGACCACAGGCACGCGACGCGACGAGTGTTAACTTACAGCGATGAGCCATCTGTTACTCGAGACACGACCCCAGTACTTGAGCAACTCTGCAGCCGAATAGTTAGACGCAATGCCATCGCCAGATTGAAGTTCGTGCTAGGCCTGACAAACTCACCTCTCTGCGCCCCTTGCACGTTGTCGACAACATCCTCCGTGTTTGCGTCGATTCGCTGGATCATCTCACTCTGCTCGGACACCATGGTCGCCAACTGTCCGAAGATCTGTGTACATCTGTGAGCCCACTTGGTCCAAAACGAACATTCTGAACTGTCAAGACTTACCGATCCTAACTCAGCAATCGTTGATTCGATGCTTTCAATAGCCGCACCTCTCTCTTGGATATATGTGTTTTGCGGTTGAGCCTCCTCCATGAGCAGAAGCTGCTGGTCCCCTGGAGGATTCAACGACAGAAGATCGGCGCCTGGTGACGGCGTACCTCTCTGAGGAGTTCCGTACAAGGGCGAGGCCGATTGCTGCAACGGTGGCTGCGTGTGTTGTGAAACACTAGAAATGAACTGCAAAGAAGCTCCGCATCAGTACATCTACTTCTTTTGTGACAGGAATCGGGGTGAGCGCACGTTGTCCGTCCTGGATCTTGAGGCCTGGATGTTCTTGGTTCGCTCCTCCAGCACATCCTTAAAGTTGGCCGAGACGTCCGTCAGCTTGCCCTGGAGCATGAAGACGACATTCTTGTTGTGCTCTCCCTCTTGGTCAGCCTTTGGATGCTGCTGCTTCGTCAAAACCTGCAGATTTCCAATCTGTTGGTTGAGGGCGCTTAGGTCTTGCTTGATAATGTACGTGAGCTCGTTGATCTCGACCGGCCGGTCGTCGAACAAAGTCCTGCGTCTCGCCACTGCGAAAGAACCGTCAGCATCGACCGCTTAATCATTATTAGACTGCACTCTGAACGCATACATGTCGCCAGCTTCTCGAGTTTGCCCATCGTGGCCGATATTCCTCTTCCAATCTGCGCCGCCTGACGCGCAAAGTCGGAGCGCCGCGGCCGGGAGTCGCCATCGGCAGCAGCCTTCTGAGAGTCAGTAAGGAGAGACCGTCGTTGAGCGCCGACCTTGTTCGAGGCCTGGCGACGTTGTGCTTGCGCGAGGACCGACTTGAACTCGGCGGTTCGATCCTGTATCGATGCGACCGCCATTGTAGAAATCGGTTATGCAGCGCTTCGAGTGAGAACAGTATCTCGAGGGGTGGCGGCCAGCGCGTTCGGGTCCGTCGAGGGGTTCTGTGCTTGCGAAGACTTGTCGTAGCGGTGGTTGGTTCGTAGAGATGGATGATCAGGGATGGGAAATTAGCTGTATCGAGTTGACGGCGCGTTCAACAGGACGGGAGCAAATCGTGGTTACGAAGAGAAGGCTGTTGTACAATGCGCGCGGGTGTTGGAGGTCCAATAATGCGACGAGGTCTAAAAGCGATATGGCGACAAAAAGATGCGTGTAGTTTGTAGAACACAAGCGAGCCGTTGTTGGCACTGTCCCTGGTCAAGGCAAATGAGCGTTGCGTTCGAGATCCAGGTTCAGAGCATTCAAGTCCAGTGTACTGTCGGAATGACGGGGCCAGGGTGTCCGATCCATCCGCGAGCGCCTAGTGCCAACGTGGTTCTTTGTTTCGGAACCAAATCCTAGACGGTGGGTTGCGCAGGCGGCGTCGACGTTTGGCTGTGTGGCTGGTGCTACTAATTGTGCAAGTGATTAAAGGAAGTGAGTGGCACCTGGCAAGCAATGGGCAGGGATCATTAAGGAGCCTGCCACATCTAAAAATGGCTGCACAATTTACATACTTACTATACACAGTTCGTATCTAGATCAAAAGAGGCTGCGGATGCAGCTGGACGTATCCCTAAGCCTTCTGTCACCAACGATTTTCGTGGGGATATTACACTAGCATTCGTGCAAAAACCCAGCATTTCTTACAATTGTGACCGGGGATTTGGCTAAGCGATTATGTTTTACGGTGTGTTTCTCACCAGACCAGCAGCTGCTCTTGCTTGAGGCATGCCCGTTTCGACGGCCAATACCAAAGAAATAACCAAGAAACTCTGACGACAAGCAAGACTCGAACAACAGCAACCCAGCGGTTGGGTTACAATGCCTTTGAATCCGAGAGATGTGACCTTCGTTCATCACTGTCAGAACCCTGTCACACGTTTGCCTTCGTTGAGGTTATAACCGTAGTCGACGTGAAGCGGAGGTCAACACGATATCACCATAGAAAAAGAAAAGCAAAACAAAAGTCAAGCTTCAACGGCCCCAATCGGCAATGCAATCCAGCCTGCTTGCGCATGCATTTCTAGTGGCGAGTTCGCGCGCCTTTGCTGCCGCTTCGCAGAAGCAACCCAACTTGGGGTGATCATACCGCGTTCCACTGCGTCTCTGTCCATGTATCTTACCGGTGTTCCGTATGTGAAGCAGCTTCAGCCAACTGCAAGCGTAGCGACTTGTACCTTGAATCGACCATTGTCGTGTTTCTACCTCATCTCTCAATGGACGGAAACATGCTTGCGCAACCTGCTCCTCACAATAGATATGAAACAAATCTTGATTACGTACAGGCTAGCTAGCTGGTACCTGCTTAGTGGACACACAAACACGTCTAAGCAAAGCCACATTACAACCCCTTTACCCCTGCTCTTCAACGCAGATACTGCAATCCAGTGGGTGGGTATCCTCGCGCACCTATTGGACAACAGCCCCAGCTCTGTCCCCTCTTTTCCAGCACGTTCAACGGGTCCATCCTCAAGGGGAGCCAAGTAGCTACCTATGACTGCTTCGCTGGAAAGTGACCTGGAGACGTCAAAGGTACTAGGATAGCCCAGCTTTAATTATCCAGCCCAGCTGACGAGAGGCGTCGAGTTCTCGCACTGCAGCACAGGCAGCAATAGCAGCAATTGCAACACAGTCAGCACTTTGGCATCACCCACCGCAGCACCGCTACTCAGCGCATCAGCAAGTACATCAACTCCCATATTGGCGCAGGCGCAAGAACAGGTACCTTGCATGACCCTACGTGGTCCGCCCCAAGCCACGTCCGTCCACTCTTCCCAAGCCCCCAAATTATCCATCATCCCGTCTTTCCTTGGGTTCCCCATCCCCCGTCTTCGTCTCCAGCAATTATCGTGGCTCGGTTGGATTGGCAACCTACACAACCAGCTCCGTCCTGTCCCGTTCTGTCTTGTCCTGTGCCCGACTTTGGCGCCCTTGGGAAGCGTCTTTCTGTTCGGCTTCCGTTGCCCTTGTTGTTCTCAATCAAAGGCCATCCTTGTGCTCGCGTTTCGACCCGTAGTCCGCAGTTCGAATTTGGCGTGGAGCTCCCCCCTCCCGAGTCTGTTGGATTCATCGAGCCATCAACCCACGGCCGCGCGCCCGCCTCAATATCGCGTTGCGACCCGTCGGCATATGTCGCAATACCCGAACACGTAGCCAGATCGA